TGCCCAAACACGATTTATTAAAACTAACTTGATCCTATGCTAAATTGATCCTATGTTTAAGTCATACCCAACAATAGAAGAGCGCCTTCGGAGGGCACCATATTCTTGCGTGGAACCTTACGGCTCAAAAGGCGACCAATATTGAGCTATACACCAATTCGATTTATGGCCTCGTTTTGGACATTTCTCCAAATCTATTCATACGATTTCTTAAGCTCAGATTTGGTTTTATCACCATTATTTTGGGCCGGATATAATTTTTCATGTTGTTTTTTGAAATCTTGTAAATCTTGTAAATCTATGAGTTAACGTGAGTTCATGTATGGAAGAGGAATGTGCTACCATTTACCCTGAGGTTCTTACACAACGCACTTGCACTGAGCGTTACTCTAGATGATGAAAACCGTTTTCTTTACTCAAAAAGAAAATCAATTGTGAAATAAGAGAAACATGTTCACATTCAAAGTTCCTGTTCCAAGTGGTTGTATTCACCAAACGCATATCTCAAGTTTACATAGAGCATGAGTTAATTTTCAATTTAACTCAGAATTATCTCTCGTTAACTTAAAGTGGAAACCAGTGGGATTTGACAGCAAAAATTATTCCGGGTGAAACTTTACCCCCCCCCCCAGTTGCTAATGACGGTCAAATCCCTTATTAAAATTGTTATCCTTATGTCGTCAAAAAATCCACATCGTGAGCAATAACATAACGAAATCATTGCTCTCAATCCAAGTCCAAGGTCAAAAGCTTTGTATAAAAGATTTTAAAGAATTTTTCACATTGAGACCGTAAGTCGAATTAGTGTATTTTTACATTATCAGAATAGGACACACCTGAACACACCATAGATATGTTTGCAAAATTCTATCTCTGGAAATCGATAGTCGGCATGGCAAGTCTAACCGCTATTTACGCCACTGATAGGGAAAATAATAGGCATGGAATTTTCCACTACAGTCTAAGGATCTAGGTAACCAAAACTTTTAATGCTAAGAATGAAAGTATATATATAAGGGATCAAGATTCCGAGTTGGGACATTTTGGAAAATTGGTTATTGTCACATGACAGTGACGTAATTGACCGAGCGACAAATCACGGTCCGAAAAAAGTAAACTTTTCGAATTTTAAATCTAAATAAATGTTTGGATTGTTCTTACAAAGTTATTCCGACTTTATCAAAGAACCATAGCCCTAAAACGTACGGTTTCAAAGTTATAGGCGTTTAAAGTTGCAGTTAATCAGGGGGTAACGTCGTATAATTCTAATGGTATGTTTGTCTGTCTCAGATGAACTGACAAAAGTGAGCCAAAAATGAATAACAAGCGTGATTTTTGCTTCTATTACAGTTATCTTAAAGCACACTTTTTGCTACAAATCGTGGGCTTTACATGATTGAGCTTCTTTCATTTGATTCTGCCCCCCTATTTCTTTGAATTTCAAATTTCCTTGTTGGTTTAATGTTATTTAATTTGAAGAATTTACAGAAAATGTACGATTTTCATTCTTTAGTGGTTTTGACTATTCCCTGAGTTGCAAGAATCACATGGGCCCCACCTACGGGTAGCACTAAGATCCGTAATAGAAACAAACTATGTAAAAACATACCTGACCAATAAAAAATGGTCTAAGGTAGCCGCTCGTCACAAGAGTCCTCGCTAGACATAAAGTCAAATACTTCCCATTCACTTTCGTCACTTGAATTTTCCCGTCCCTTGCCATCCATGGGGACTTGGTAACTGGGTTATTTAAAAGAGCAACCAAAGGCACCGACGGACCATTCCGCAGTGGATTTAGTACCGACATCGACACCGTAAACACTTGGGTAAATACGACACATATTCCTACTATACTCTCTCCTTTCCAGACATAGGAGAACTAGCCAGTCAGTAAGGCACAGATTATTGCTTTCCCAAAATGTGATATTGCAGGTCGCCAAAGATCTTTTCAACACTCCTGGTTTCAAATATTACAATGGATTCATCACGATGAGCACAAAGATCTTGCCTATTGCCAAACCTGTGTAACTGCCTGCAAAGAAGGAAAACTTGATGCTCCTTATTCAGAACTCGCCTTCATAAAGACTGGTTTCAAGAGCTTGAAAGTGGCTTTAGAAAAGTTCGAAAGTCATGAAACAAGTGCATGTCACCGGGATGCTACCCAAGTCATTCTCGTGCTTCCAAATGAGAAAACTAATATTGCAGAACAGTTAATTGGAGAACAATTAGAAAGATCATTGACTGCTGAGAAGCAAAAGAATCGCAGATTTTTTTAAGACAGTGACCACATTAAGAATGATGGGCAGACAAGGATTGCCTCTTCAAGTATTGATTGAAGAATCAAATTTCTATCAGATCATAAAACTAATAGGTTAAGATGATCTAGAAATAAAGGAAAACATGACCAAAACTAGAAACAACTATGCCAGTTATCGGATCCAAAATGAAATTCTTTAAATTATGGCTTTACAGATTCAGAGAGCGATGACTTCTCGTCTTCACGACGCAAAATTTATAACTATAATGATGGATGAAACTGTTGTGTATAGTTGCGCTGCGGTGCCGCTTATTGGCTAACAAAAAAGCTGCGGTATCGCTTATTGACTAACAAAAGGAATATCGCCTTGATTATTTCATTGTGTTCAAGAAATAGCTATAAGAAAAGAACCTTATGTATACTTTTGTTACGTGTTTTTCAGGTGTTTAGAACGTTGTTTTTTTTGTCTTGATGTTGATCAGTTTTTATGTTGGAGGCTACTATTAAATTGTGTCCACTGCTACCCACTGTTTTACTGTGATCTCGACTTAAATCCAAAACGGATCACTGGACTATTTAAACACTTCCTCAAAAAACAACAGAGATAACTGATAGGAGCAATGTGTTTTTTGCATGAGGTATGTTAATGACGAATTGGAGGTAAATGAGGATTTTGCTCGATTGCATCAAATTGAATCAACAAAATCTGACGCTCTTGTAAATGTTATTGAAGAGCCGTTTGAACTTACCCTTCCGTAACGTACATGGCCAATGCTATGATGGTGCTTCCACTTTAAGTGGTGCGAAAAATGGGGTAGCAAACAAATGCGAGACAAAAAGGAACGAGCGTTGTCGTAAAATATCCTAATCAATACATTTGGAGTATATCTTTACGATAGAGAAAAACATTTGTGCGAGTGCAAGCTAGATCGATCAACAAAAAACTATCCACTATCACAAAAAACGTGGTCTCTAATCAAAACGAGGTTATAACAAAATGGAGTCAGGGGGTCTAAGCTATAATTCAGTACAACTGGTTATATACATATATAATTCCTAGCTCAGTGATTTGATCTATGTTCTGACAACAGTGTCAGATTAACAGCTTGAATATGATTCTGTAGTTGGGAATGTCGTCCTTAGCATAAATTTCGTGCTATGATCATCATTATTACGTTTGCTAATTTTCACACGTTGATGCAATAACATAGTATAACCAAGTTATAACGTACTCGGTTATAACGTACTTAATCCGCTGGTCCCTTCAAGTATGTTATAACCGGATTATTCTGTATTGTTAACTTCCCAATTAAAACGTATCAATCCGTAACACAGTATATAGTATTGCAGAGTAAGAAAGAAGATTGAAATAAGAAGGGCGTTTTTAGTTGAGATTGAGTAGAGTTGTTTTTTAGAGTTGGACAGATTGGATAGATTTCTGATAGCTTACAGATCGAAGTTTACCAATTAATATGCGTGTTGGTTCTTAATCAACCCCATCTAGGGTAATTCTTCCGTACTACGTTACACATGGATCGGTAAAAACACAACAACTCAAAATGTTTGCTTTTTTCAAAGGCTTTTTAATTCAAAAACTCATATATCAAATACAAACGAAGTGCTCCAACACCCGATCTCCGTTTACTTCCGCATTAATTTGTACCAATTTATTAAAACGTCACTCACGTTCATTGGCTTTTTACAACACTCTTCCCCAACCACCCACAAATTTAAAATTTTAGGTTTAATAATTAGATTTTAAAGGGCCTCTCCAGCCAAAAAAAAATTTTTTATTGAGTAAAAAGTTAGCATCTGGTGCGTGTATTATGGCAAAGTCATTGTTTTTGCAAAATTCCAATTAGTTTCAAAGTTTGAAGGCTTTAAAGTTGCACCTTTCCAAAAAAAAAACGACAAAAGCCGAATCAGTATTGTGACATTCTGACGTCACAATGTGCGGCTCTAGTTCGCCATGAATTTCGTATATCTTCCACCGAAACGTTAAGGATTCATGGTCACGCGTTGATAACTGCATCTAAATCTACAGCAGGAGCTTTTTAGGATCGAAAATTGCTAAATATTTACTATCATTCTAAGTCTGCGGGTCCATGCTGTGTCACGACTTTGTTTTGATCACCTGTGTAGGCCCACAAAGCTATGGCTTCCTGTTCCAGCTCTTCCCTCGCGTATAATTAATCGAAATTGACACTTCAGTTGTTTTCCAGAAACGATGAACAACTAAAGGCTTTGTGTCTGAAATGCTCAAGCTAAAAGCCGGTGGAACAGAACTTGCTACAGATGGAGAGTACCATCACTTGCAGTGTTCATTTGCGAATCGCCGTCATTCGATTCGGTTTAAGACGAGACTAACGAAATGCACAGTGACGTCAAAATTGCGTCACAGTGTCACCAAACCGAAAAATTTTTGTCGGTTAATTAAATTAAATTATCGAAATGCAAGAGCTTATATCTCACAAACTGTAAAAAATATCGAAAAACAAATAACGAATTCGTGATCAGCAGGTTTAACTCCTTTAGATTAGCCAATAAAATGCAAGTGCAAAATTTGGCTAGAGAGGCCCTTTAAGTATGAGTGTAAATATAGAATGCATTTGAAATATAAAATGAAAATTCAAACCTAAAAGTTTAAATTTGATTAGATGGCCATATTTTGGAAAATTTAATATGGTTTTTAGGAACTTCTTTTGCTTTGTTGTTCTCTAATGAATTCTTTTTTCTATTGCAGAACCAAAATAATGACTATTATCGAAGACACTATCAGTGCCCTCAAGGTAAATACTATTCAATTTAAATCAACGAATATTCATTTGTGAAAATACAACAGAAAGTACTAAAAGGGAATCTGCAATGACGTCATATAAGCTAGGCTCTAGAGGTATTCCTTCAACTTTTTTCAAAAAATGAGAAAATTATTTATGCTTTAAAGTATAAAAAGTTGTATCAAGAACACGAGACAGCGCAATGGTTTAGCTTTGTTTGTCAGCTCGTAAATTTCAATCAATTGAGCTTTTTTGAACAACTTTGCTTCATTCGTGTGTCTTCAAAGAAAGTAGTGAAAACTTTTCAACATCTCATGTACTCTGAGAACTGTCTTCAGTTCCTACTTTCATGAATGTCTCCGATTTCTTAAAAGTCGTTACCATCTATTCTGTCTAGATACTTAGAATTCATTTCACGATGCTCAATTTCTCATGGATTCTATGCCAAGTAAATTATTTTAGTGAAAAAAAAAGCTGTTATATTTACCTGTAGTTTGTAAAGCTCAAAACCAATTGGTCTTTGTGCTATTAAAATGTTTGAAATCTTTACATGGAACATTTTATACGTCATGCCACACTCTGCTTTATCTGAAAAAGTGCGGTTCGGTTTTAGTACGAAAACTGGCACGACTTGATTTTATACTGTGGTGCTGAAGTTGAGCCGTTTTTCTGTCAAATCTTCACCAGCGCATGCGCAACAGATCAACCAACCACAAAGAATATTCACGGAGTCCGGTTGTCAAACCTTTGCTTAAAATGTCCGGAGAATACTTACCACCTGATTAACTGACTAACTGAGAATAAACTCTCAATTCTTTATAAAAATGCGAGATTAAGAATTTCCGGATTGTTCGTCAGCGTTCCGTCAGCGCTCGTCAGTATATCTTATAGAATCCAGGGTCATAGCCACACTTTGCCAACCCTGGAAAAAGAGAAAACCAGCTGTTTGCCACCCGGAAAATTTTGTCTCCAAATTTTTTTAATGGGGTTGGTTGTCGTTTTCATTGCACTGTCAAGACAATTGGAGTCAATACTGGCCGATAGAAAATTGCCTATTGGGGCTTTTACTACCGACTGTAGGACTCGCTGAAGGACTTGCTGCAAAAGATCAAGTGCCACTTGGGCGCTTCTCAGAAAAAATTCAGAATCGTCTGCCTGCAACACGGTGGCCAGGGGATTTCAAAGTCACAAACTATGCCGTAACAGTTTGAGAACAATAGTGTAGCGTAAAGAGACGCACGTTAAATCAGTAGTTGTCAAAGTAACGCTGGGAAAAAGAACAGGAATCATTCACAAAAGATGAGAAAAGTCTTGATGCTAACGGTGAACCTCAAGACAATCCATAAGCAATTAATTTTATCTCGGATTTAACTCCATTCAACTCTACGTGTAGTTTCTTATTTTCTAGGTAGCTCTGGATCATCTGATATAATTTGCCACTGAATCCTGCTGCGATCAATTTCTGTTCAAGTATGACGTGGACTACACAACCAAACGCCTTCCTAAAGTCAATGTCTTGTCATGTAAATTTGTTTCTCCATACCATCGCATATCAATGACTCATTTACCTTGCTTGGAATGGATAGCATTATCAGAGGCCGATAGTTTCCTCTCTCTGCTCTTTCGCCTTGTTTGTGCGCTGGTTTAGTTTTCCAATTTTCCACTGACTTAAATACTTTTCTTCAAAATATCCCATGTGACATATAATTGCTATTGGAAAACTCAGCTCAACAAATGCTATTCTTAGTTGTTTGGTTGTTATTCTTTCTAGTCCACATGCTTTCTCAGCTTCTTGTCAACAGCATTCTCAGTTATATCAATATGTTCAGTTGTCGGAGTAACTCTATGTATATACTCATTCGGTGATTGTTCTGTTTCATTGCGATTCTTTGCCAGTTTTTTACCAATATTTGTAAAAAATTCATTCATAAAGCCTGCAACTTCATTGTCATCAAACATAAGTTTTCCCTCTTTATTTTTTAGGAGCCCAGTAACTCTCTTTTCCCCATATTTTTTTGTTACTCCCAGTAACTCCCCAGTTTTAATTGCATTTCAAAAATTGATTGTATGCATTCTTAGGATAAAGACATGACTAAATGAATATCTCCTTTTCTTTTTTTCCAAAGTTCTAGCCTCTCGACTGTCAACATTGAAACATTGCAAATATCAGCATATCTATCAAGTTAGCTGTTTGTTAGAAAACATATTTTCTGTTGATTGATTGCACAATCTCACTATTACAATGGCTTTTAATGCAATGTATCATATGGGTTGGGAAAAAGTACTTTTTCTCTCAATGTCAGAACAAGCAGGGTCTTAGAAAGCTTCCAATCTAATGAACCAATGCACGTTTGATGATTTTGTCATTTTCAATTTTTAAGGATGGGTTCAGAGATGCAACCGATGCTACTTATATGTCAACCAGCCAATGCAATGGCTGGGCGCCCAATATTACTGCAGAAGGTATTGAAGTCGTCGCGTTATTTCTTTTTTATCGAACTTTGTTCGTTTTTATGTGTCCAAGGAATCGGTTTGACTTAGCATCTGCCCGATACTTCACAACAAAACTGTTTGACCATAAATTCCACTTATCGAGCGACTTATCAATTCGATAAAACACTAATTGCTGAAATGTTATGATACTAATTTTCTGAGAGAGACAAAAAAACTGCGGCCCTTTTGATGGTTAATGGATTTAGTTCCGTTTTAAAATTAATCTTGAACAAATGTTAAGAAAGTTATTGAGCATTGCTTATTTTCTCTTCTCAACAGCCATTCAAAATTGGTTTTTGTTGTAGACTAATGTTGAAACCAAGGTTTAATAATGTTAAAAAGTGATGCTTTTCCACAGACTTTTTATGAAGTTTTGAGAATACTTTATGGTAGCAGAGATATGCATTATTAAGTTTAGTCTACCTTTCTGGTTTGGTTTTATTCCAGAAAAGTATTGACAAAAAAAGTTTGGTTTTATTGACAAAAAAGCTGTTAAAGGACTTTTTGCCCCGCCTAACCCCATCTCGACGCTCCTGCCCAAATCTCATTCACTCTCATTACCTGCTGGTTCAAAATTGCATAATTTTTCATTTTTAGTCTTGGGGGTGATTTGGTCACAATTCGTGACTGGGCAACCAACTACTTCATGTTCCGCATCGTGAGGTATTTCGATCGGAGGCGACGAACAATATGGATCGGTAAGATTCCTGGTTTCCGTTGTCTTAGTCTGTTTTTTTGGTAACTCTGCGAATCCACATCATTCCATTAGGATCTGCATTTTTATCTTAATTCAATAGATTTAGATATTTTTGCTTGTGTACATGTTTGAATTTTCCTTGTACAAAAAATTAACTAGGGTGTGAAGAAAGAAATATATACAGAAAATTATCAATTTCTATAATTTTCATATGTTGTATAGCATTAATTAGCTTGCATTTTTAACCAGGTGCTAACGATCGCAGAACCGAGGGTACATTCGAATGGTCTGATGGAACTAGAGCTAACAAATACAGTTTCCGGTGGTTTGCTCCGGGGGTGCCTGATGATGAATCTCTGGGCCAAGACTGCGTCGAACTGCAAACGCGGGGCAGACACAGATTCTTGTGGACTGACAAATTCTGTGGTGACGAGCAAACCTTTATCTGTCAGGTATGCCTTAGTTAAGGTTTGTGACACGACACACATTAAAAATAGGCCTCTTCATAAGCCTAGACAAGCTTCTAGTCATCTTGATGGGCTACCTATCATCATCACACGATTTCACTGTATCTATTTGTTTGGTTGTATAGAAGAGGAGAAAGGAGTTCTGAAGATCTGAAGCATAAGTTATGGAGGCTCGGTTGTTCCATGATAGAAAAGTCAATTGTCCAATTTTGTCAGAGCCGTGTATTTGAAATATATCACTAAGGCGATTTGTTATGGAAAATTGCCCACATTCAGTGGTAACGTTACATCACCCTTTGGTTAGACAGCAACTTGTTTATTTAGCTAGAATAGCTGCAGTTGGGCATCATGCAAGTTTGCAGCATTGTTTTGTAATCAAAGAGGCTCCATTGCTCATATCTTTGGTGCAAAGATAATGCACACTCACCCTACTTTGTAACAAGGGTCGAAGAAATACACCAAAGCACCCAATTTAGACGATCATGTGATGTCAAGATTGCTTTAATTTTGCAAGTTGTCAAAACTAAAGTAGCTTCGGGTTTAAGGCTAAGAGAATTGACATGAATAGTTAATTGCAAGACGTATGATTTATTTTGCTCTAGACCAAACCACACACGCTCCGGGCTAAAATTGGGCCCCTTTCGGCCCGGGCAAACTAATCCACTTCAAGAGTTAGGTTCACCATTGCTTGATTTATTGAAAAATCCTTTATTAATGCAAACTTAGATCGGACAAAAATCTCAATTGGGTTTGCTCCTTATTAGGGACGTCTTTTGTAGCTGTTACATTATGATATCTGCTATGTCTATGATGGTTTTTGTCAACATAGACCAAGGAACAACGATTTTAGAGTTGGGGGTGGGGGGGGGGGTTAAATGAGCCCCTCCTGAGGCTTCTAGCAGCTCAAAAAGGCCGGTCTGGATAGGGTTAACGTAGATTCCTAGCTTTATTTGACTTGTATCTACCCCTGCTTGTGTTCCTTTTCTATTTCTATCCAGCGTCATTTATAATCTAACATTTGAAATGGTGTCAAACCGAAAAGCTGTCTCCAATTGTTGTATTTTACTCTACCCATGAACTTTTGACAATATTTTTGTTTATCGAAAAAGTTTTAACGACAGTTATTTCAGTCATTTCTTTCGTAGGTCAACGCTTGTTACAAAGGTATATTTTTGAATTATGTTTACTTTTTCTGTTTTTTCAAACTTTCATTTTAAAAGAACAATTGTCGAATTCTCTGTTCAGTCATTGTTTGATATGTGTTTGAACTTATTTGATATGGATATAAGATATGAGGGCCAGTAGGCCTATCAAAATTTTAAGCTATTGATCTTTTTAGACCGTTATACCTGTCACTGAACGCGAAAGCGAAACAAAATATTGCAGCTTGAAAACTAATCTCTCGTTAGTTGATTCTAATGTGAATTGTTTTAGGCCATTTCTCAAATAATGTAATTATTTGCAGGGCAATTTCGATGTGACAATGGAAAGTGTATTACAAAGTATGCAGTGTGCGACCGTGCCAATGATTGTGGGGACCGCTCAGATGAGAGAAATTGCAGTGCGTGCCTATTGTATTGCACCTCTTAATTCCTATAATTTATAAATAAAAAAATGTCAATTTGCATGGTCATCGTTGTTTTTGACTTTTGACAAGTATTTTAAACTTGGTGGATATATATCTTGTCACAATTTATGACTAAGAAAAGAGATGGTTTGAAAGAGTTGTTTGAATTGCCCTTAATTTTCCGTCGCCTGTGGAGGCCTTATTTATTAACATAGGCTTACCACGAAGTATCTGGCAAGAAACCCCATGTATTATTTTAACCCAAAAGGCAGGATTAAATAGACTTGACAGGTTTCAATGATAAGTTGAGTTGCCTCATTGCTCATTTGTATATCGAGCCCGTAGCCAGGCGTGTGGAGTAGGGGTGGCAAAATTTCCCGTGTTCAATGCAGGCGAAGTTTAAAGTGAAGCTTTTGTAGGGGTGGGGGGAGGGAGCGGTGGCTAGAGTTTGTGGAAATAATACTGAAAACACTGTCGGTTCTGATATCAAAAAATCATCTAAGTGCTTGTCAACAAAGGCCCTTCTTCGCTGAATGTTCCTGACCACTGATTATTTCATTGGGTATCTATTCTATAGAGTGTAGAATATTGTCCACACAATTTCTTGTTCACATAACTTGTGATTTTGAAATGCCCTGACCACTGTGTTGCAGGCAGTTGTTTCAGCAATTTTCTGAGAAGCACCCAAGTAGCGCCAAGTTTTTGCTTGGCAGCGAAAGTTTTTTGAGCCCCAGCCATAATCTTAAGTTCTACATGGGTAATGATAGACCCCAATAAACATCTTTCCTTCTTCCAGTATTAGGTTGAACAGCAATCTAATGACAACATAGAAAAACTTCATTAAAAATTTAGAGACAATATTCTGGGCAATGGCAATCAGCAGGCACTCTCTTGCTTTAAGGGTGGCATTGCCACCCCATGCTACCCCTTGGCTACGGGCTTGTTGTATATGTCGATCTTGTTTTATATATTAGCGGTTTCAAGACATCAAATCATTCTCATTTTCAGAGCATTACCTGAATTTGAATTTAAACCGTAGCTAAACGCATCAACGTTTTATCTAATCATTTTAAACCTACGAATTAGTCGTTTTCTTTTGGAAAATATGTTTAGTTATTCTTGATGCCAAACCACCAACTCCTTATAATCTTTTAAACAGCCAATTGTGTCAGGGATGTGCTGCTAAAAAGGGCTACTCTTGGCGTCCGGGAGGGAGCTCAGCTCTCTGGTGTCCCTTAGCTCTACTCCTCCGCGTTTATGTGATTAATATTGTTTTTCAGATTTTTAATTCTTTTGCAAATAGTGAACATCAATGAAAGATTCAGAAGAGCTGGTGTTAATTAATTTTTTTATTTCAGAAAACTGTGGAGGGAAACTTGGGGGAACAAATGGCTCTTTTATGTCACCAGAGTACCCTACGTTTTACCCATCTGATTCAGACTGCACTTGGAAGATCACGGTTCCTTTGAAGTCAAAAGTGGAGCTGTCATTCAAAGAAATTCACCTGGAGCCTGGGTTCGATTATGTTGATGTTTACGATGGGCCAACCTCATCTTCAAAGATCATTGCTCGATTGATGGGTCTAGGCAAGGTGACGCCTTTGCTGTCATCTGGTAACCAAATGCTGGTCCGATTTGTATCTGATGAGTCCATCCAGAATAAAGGGTTCTTGGCTGGCTACAGGGCAGGTGAGTAATTTTCAAACAATCAATCATTTCTTTTGCTTACTATGGCCATATAAAATATTATAGCTTCACGTTATCCAGGGTAGCTGTTTGGGCGTTTTGACGGCCAAATTTCTCAATTGTGGTCAATTTTCAAAGCTGTTGGCCATCGAAATTTGACTTGGCCGAAAAAGCAACAGCTGGCAGAATTTTGGCCGCTTGTTGAAAGCCACAAAAGTATAAAGAAAACGAAAATTTTTGCACAAAAATATTCAAAATTTTGTTAAAATAATCTCGAAATTGCAAATAACGAAGCAAGAAACAAAGTTAAAGGCAACAGCAAATTGAAATTGAAAGCAAGTGGAACTTTTGTAGCAAACAAAGCCTATTTTGATAATACTATTACTCCAAAGATTTAGCAAAAATGTAGCTTTTCTCTATATTTTGTTTGGCTGGCCGAATTTACCGTTTGGTCTAGTCTGCCATAGACCATTATGATTCTACCATGAAGTTTTTCATTGTAACCAATGTTGAGATAATGCGTTGGCATTGGACGGTTAAAAGTGTAAACAAGGATGACTAGAAGATAACGCAGCTTTGAAAACTGATTTTTTGCCAATACTGAAGTTAGTGCTTGCTGGGTAGTTGTTTCGGATGTTTCTTTTCGGATATTTGGTTTTGTTTTTTTGTACATCTCTCCTAGCATGAGCCCCGAAAAAGGTATCTTCAAGGATTACAATACTTCAAGCCGCTTTGCCCGTCGACAGCCCACAAAATGCAAATCCCAAATTCTTAGAAAGTAGATTAAATCTGTCAATTTTAGTCTGAATTGATGTGATTTTCGTAAACGTTAAGGGATCAATCCTGAAGATTTTGCTTTGTATATACCTTATAAGTTTTTAACTATGAAAGTATCGCGTCAATAAATAAATTAACGGCAACAACAGCAGCAAAAAACTTCAACAGCAGCAAAAACAATATAAAATCTTGAAACGAGTTTTCAGTTCTTTAAAACCCCGTTCACACTTATCCGTATTCATATGAAAACGGATAAAAAGGTATCCGTTTGTGCCTTGCGTTCACACTGCTCCATCTTGAAAACAGAGACTTTTGAAAACGCAAAAACGCAGTGTGAACACCGAAAACGGATACTTTTGAAAACGCTAAAAACAACAACAATACAGCAAGATTCTTAGACCGCGCCAATTTGAATAACTTATCTTAAAATGGCTGATTCACTCGAAGTTAGTATACCTTGGAGTAAAATTAGTGGCAGTGAGGTGTTTGAAAAGTTTATAAGCAGTGGCAAGTGCTGTAAACCAGTTCGTGGCGTTTTCCTTTTTATCCATAGCGGAGCAATGTGAACGCTTCATCGTTTTCATAACGTTTTCATAATATAATGTATCCGGATCAGTGTGAACAGAATCGATGTAAAAACGGATAAAAATCAATACGGAGCAATGTGAACATAATCTAAAACCATTTTTCTAATTTCTCATCTTACTTCAGTGAATGAGAGCGCTTGTGGAGTAGCATTGAATGTTGGTAAAGGTCAAATGCGGGAAATCATTTCACCAAAATATCCTTTACATTATCCAACAAATTCCAAATGCACTTGGACGATTACTGGCGACCCTAACAGTGTACTGAGCCTCCGTTTTGTTGACTTTGAAACCGAACTTATCAATGATGTGGTAGACATAAGGGATGGTGTTTTGAGCACAGATAAATTGATCGCCAGATTGTCAGGCGCACAGACTGGGCAAACATTTATTTCGACTGGAGCAGGGCTCACGATGAAGTTCACGTCAGATCGCGCCAATGGTAGTAGAGGTTTTAAGGCAGTCGTGTACGGAGGTAGGTAGAATGCCCTTTGTGGTAACATAGAGCATATTGTTGATACAATGTTGGAATTTTCGTAAAAAGCTTTTCCATTCACTGCAATCTTAAATTACATCAAGATTCGTTTTCTAAATAACCCAGTAAAAAACAGCTTAATATAAATATAATGCGATGATGTTATTGCCACCGCTTTCCTGGTAGGCCAGATGCTATAATTGCCATTTGAGTTTTGTAGCTTGTTTTTGCTCTGCAACTATATTTTCTGCCCATTCCTGATAGAGGCTACTGAGACTTCTATCATTTACCTTCCAGGTTGTAACATCGAACTTAATGCAACGAAAGGTGTAATTTCCAGTCCAGGATTTGGCTATAAAAACTACCCAAATATGTTAGATTGCACATGGAAAATCAACGAACCAAACGGAAGAAACATCGGCTTACTGTTTCATTTTTTCGACACTGAATTGTACTTTGATGTTTTGGATGTGTTGAACGGCAACACCGGTGCCTCGATTAAAAGATATTCTGGAGAACTTGCGAGGCTGGCTTCGGAGGCCTGGATCCTAGATACAGCTACGTCCAAAATAGATGTTACCTTCAAATCAGATTACAGTTACAGCAAAAAGGGATTTCGAATTTCTTTCTCCGTTGGTACGTAACAAGGTCGTGCTCACGTCGTCAAATCAAATCTCTCTTATAATTTTCTATATCATTCTGTCGCAAAGTCATGTCTCTGTTTTTTTATAATCTTAGTGTCTTAGTAGTTTCTTAATATATAAAACGGATATTCACCATTCCCTCCCTCCTACTATATTTTTATTATCTTGTCTTGACAGCTGTCTGCCATTTTGATATCATTTCAGTTTTCCATGTTTTTAAAGTTAGAATCTTTTTTAAGGTTGTCTAGTAATAAGCAGAATGTTGTATTCTTCTTCTTTGCTCTCAATCAATCTAATTTCGATGTTTTGTTTGGTAGGATGCCCCAAGTTAGTGGTTCCGGAGCACGGATCCATAAGCACATTGCAAACAAACTCTGGAGTTCGGGTTACTTACAAATGCAACAGTGGCTATAGGCTTAATGGCAGTGCAACAACAACTTGTGCCTTTGGTGCAATGTGGAGTGGGAAATCTCCAAAATGCCTAGGTATTTTCGTAAATCACCTTGTAATTTTACATTAAATCAACCGTAATTTTGTCTCTAATACTCTAAATTTTTTTTGAATTATTGGTATTTTCTGTCAATTATTTACATATCCTGTTTTATGACAGAAATCATTTGTGGCCCCCCCGGAATCATTGCAAATGGCGTTTATCAAATCGATGGCAGTTACAACTTCAATAGCACAGCAATATACTCTTGTTTTGGGGGGTACCAGTTGAATGGAAGTCGAGTTCGTCGTTGTCAAGAAAATGGACTGTGGTCCGGATCTTTGCCAAATTGTATAGGTAAGCACACTGACCCATATATTTTAGATTTCAGCTGCGGGTAAGGGCAGGAAGTAAAAGAATTTCAGACCTTTTCAAGAGAAAACGCCAATTTCAGCAATGGACGCCCATGGCTAGCTTTTGACTATGTAAAGTAGCTTCAAAATCATACACATCAAATAATACTTCAGAAAAATATGATCCCTTCTCTAACATCGAAATGAGACGAAATGCAAAACAAATCCTGCTAATAGCATGTTGTGAGAAATATCCCTTGAGTCACACCCCCCGTTGAATTAACTTTTATTTTCGTTAACATCGCGTAATCTTTCTTAAACTATTCTGTTCCCCTTGGTATGTCTTATTTCATGGTAGTTCTCATCCAAGCAACCAAAAGGAATATACTCTCTCGCATTCTATCTTCGGCTACCACCCCACACCATTACCAACCTCCCTCGTAGATATTCTGTTTTCAGTTATTTAGTTTCCATCTTTTACCTCTTTTACCTAACAGTAACTTCCATCTTTTACCTCAAACCTACTTTCACTCTCTCGATGCATTGTTTCAGTTTTTATCGAATATTTTTAAAGTAATCAGTAAATTTAGGCAAAAATTAGCCTAGTGCCAAGTTTCACCAAATGCATGCCGGATGTAGAATGAGTATGAAGTGACGCCGATTTGATTGTCCTTCTAGACGTTGGTTGTGGAGACCCTGGGACACCTGCAAATGGAGCAAGAAGCACGAGCAATACTAATGTCAGTGCAGTAATGTCTTTTACTTGCGACTACGGATACAACTTGCACGGGCCAAAAACCATAATTTGTGGGGCAGAGGGAAAGTGGTCCGGACCAATTCCCACATGCAAACGTACGTATTATGATCATCGTTTTTATATAATTAAAGTTGGTTAAAGGGAGACTTCTCGAAATTATCATCCTTCAGTTCAAAGTTAGAAATAAACCACAATGAATAAGAAATATGCTGCTGATTATAGCTACTAAGCATTTGAGAACTTTTGCTTAAAAATTTTGCAACAGACAGAAGAGCAAAATAATCTTTTTGCGATTTAAAAAAATTTTAGTCCAATTCATTTGAAAATGAAATTTGTTCTAGAACAATACTTTTAATACCAGCTAAAGCCCCCCCCCCCACTACTGTTCATGTGTCAACTTTTGTGATGCAGTTATTCTGTTTGCCTTGACATAGTTTATCCCACTTCAAGCCGAGGGACATTTCACTACCTGAAATAGCGAACGAGATTTTTAGGATTTTTAAATTCCTAAAATCTCGACAGGGATTTTCGGATTTTCGAACAGATTTGATGGAGATTTCTGGATTTCTTGGTTTTTAAAAGATTTCCAGGGATTTTCATGGACGTTAAAAATTCTTGAATACCGTTAAAAATGTATAAATTTATCGTAAACTAATCGTTAATCTTCTGAAAAAACACAGTACAACGTTAAGAAAAGTTCTCAAGTGGGACGTCATAAAATTTATGTTTCTAGAATTATTGATTTTGATTAAACGGTTAAATTACCAAAAACGGTCAAATATATATACATGGGTTATATATGGCAAATGAAAGTTTAGAAATTTGCTAAAGGATTGCAATGTTGCGAACAGAGAAAAAGTTACAGACGTCTCTGCAATCAATAGAAGGCTAGCCTTATCAAGGACAAAATTGTTGAGATAAAATTGAATTTTTTTCAATTTTCTACTTTACGCTGCCTCTGTTATTTTGAATCTCCCTTTTCCTCCCAAAACAATATTGTAGCTCTATCATTTTGGCTTCAAAGGAAAGGGAGAACATCAATTTTACCTAATAAGTTTAAACTATTATTGTCCCGGATTATAGCCTGTGCTCGTCATCTCGCACCCAATTTGTGTGACGTCATCATTTGATAAGTTGATAAAAATGTAATTTAAGGCATGGGACTACGACTTTGATAACAGAATCGTTTCTATTGATATTGTTTGTATTGTGTTATATTGTCATATACTTTGTATTGTGTTATATTGTCATGATACTTTATTTTATTGTCATGTATTGTATCGTATGTATTGTTTTGTATCGTATGTATTGTTTTGTATTGTTTGTTATTTTTTGTATTGGCTGTGCCCCCCCCCCCCCAAATGAAAATTTTGACAACAGCTTGCCTCCTCTGGCTACAGTTTTTCCAAATGATATTTTGAAAATTTGGCATATCTATAATTCCATGACCTTGATTTTGTCCAAATATATCTGTTTGTTATATATCTGTTTTCTTGTTTTGAAGCGTATGGCTCTTGCTCAAGTTTGCCCCCCAGCCCCCCCCCCAGCCGACACCTACAGCTACGTGGTTGCTACGGGAACTAGCAGATGCTGCCTAAAATCATAATCAACATTAAATTTAGCCCGGGGGGGGGGGGGTGGCACATAAGGTCAACATAGGACCAGCTCTGTCTGGGGGACCTCTTTAAGTAGATGATAACCAAAACCAGCGCAGCAACCTCAACATTAGCACCCTCTCTTTATATTTCTACATCTCTGCTGTATTTATTGAGCATTGCTGAAGTTTTCGCACTATTTAGCTGATAATCTGATAGACCTCCCGTTCATCTGCCAAGATTCTGTAAAACACTCGTAACTTATGGAACTTTTGAAAGATTTGAGTAGATTTAGGATCACAAGAAGATTTGCAGAGATTTTTGGATTTCGAAAGGATTTTTGGATTTTTTCGGAGTTTCAGGGGGGCTGTACGGGATTTTTTGAAGTGAAATCCCCCTCGCTTCAAGCTGTCTTTATTTAAAATTATAGTTCGCTTTATCCCACAATATTGGCTTAATGGGGTATTGTTTTGCTCTTTCTGCTTTTTTTCATTCGGGTAAGGATCAATATTATTCCACTTAACATGTAAGACTGTGAATACTTTCTTTGCGGGTTCTTTGCAGACTAGGGAACACAATTAAAAGGTTTCCATTTCAATGATATAGAAGCGCTGAAGGTGCTAGGTTTCTAACTCGGGTCATCCTGCGTACTGACGAGAGAGGCAAATTCGTTTACTTCCGCCATTTTAAATAGTGGCAAAACGCGAGCTGCAATAGGGTTCAGTATGGAAAATTGTTTGTTTTAAGGGCTGGTTTTCTCGTGGCTCACAACAATTTCAGTGCCTTTTCTAATGCAAGTAGTTAGAGGAGATATGAATCAACAACGCATAACAATTTTTTGGGCCTTTTAAACAGAATTTTAAAAAATATGGCCCTTTTTATTTACGCAGTTGCAGGGGGAAAAGCTTGCAGGAGGAAAAGCTTGCAGGGGGAAAAGCAAACAACAAATTAAATTTTCGGCTTTTACTAGAGTTAGGCCTTAGATGTTTCAAAGCAATTTCTGTAAACCCAGAAAGAAAAAGTAAGTAAATCACATCTTTGTAAAAATTTGTTGTGGCTAACATTGTTGCTGGATCCATTCTAAACCTGACCAATCGTTACATCTGAAATTTTGAAATTGCGACAGTAAATGCTTGGATTTTGCGAATAACTGCTTATAAATCCAATATTAACATTAATTCATAAATTTAATGGCAATATGAAGTCACTCACCAAATTTCAAATCGATATTCGAAAGAGAAGTGAACGAAATCAATCTTCACTTTTGCCAAATTTATAAGGGCTGAATATGGAGCAAGCTCCTTTTTGCCACCATTCAAAATGTCGGAAGTAAATAAATTTGCCTCACAGTGTACCCGTGAGTTAGACATCTAGCGACTTCGGCGCTTCTATATCATTGTTCCATTTACAATACACTCAACACGAGGCACGAGTCGGCCTTTTCTTAAATCAAGACAAAACGAAAAGAGGTTAATTCATGAAAATATACAATAATGTAATTAAATTAACCTTAATAATTTGTTCAATTAATTAAAATTTTTGCTCAAGAAAGTCATACTTTCATTCGAATCGGTGTCAGTCAGCGATTTATAAAAATGGTCTTATCATTTGGTAAACCCTTAACGCCTGCTCTCTATGAAAATTGACCCTAAGGTATTTGAGTTATTCCCCACATTGCCCAACTACCCCTTCTTGAACCGTATTTATATACCTCTACATTTCTTTTACAGTGAGTCAAGAAAATTGATTTTTACAGTTAATTTTGGGGAAGCCTTGTGATAAATGCGTTGCTATTGACAAAGTGAGAAATATTGGTCTAAGTCACTTGAGTCTCAAATTTAACAAGGACCCTGGCAACCTAACGATTCTTTCGTTTTAATAACTTTGCTTGTTGATGTTTCTTTTCAATGCTCAATAACACAAGTACGAAAGTGTAACTAAGCTACAAATATTTCATCAAGTTTGACTTTCGTAAGTATTTTAAGCTCTTAATCATTAATTCATCGTGTATTTCCTATATTTACGTGAAATTTCAGACGGACTGAAGTGAATTGTATTGGTTTTTAAATGTTTGCATTTTAGCTGTCTTCTGTATGGTCGTACCAGCACCAGTCAATGGAAAATACTTGCTAGGCCCAAACAGCACAGTTCCTGTTCGAATAAATTATGGAGAAATACTTAGCTTTACTTGCAATAGAGGCTATCGCATAAGAGGCTCAGAGTCGATCATTTGCCAAGCTAATGGAAATTTCAACGACACTACTCCTCGATGTTTTGGTAATTCCTGTATTCACATACTGTTACACAAAACGAGCTACCTACTTAATATTTATCGAAAACAAAACTGTTATCTTTTTTGATTTTCTCTATTTCTGAATCTTGAATGATTTGAAAATAATTTTTAGAATTTTCTACATTGGTATTCAATGCTTAATAAAAGGGCAGAAAAGTTTCATTTTGTCTATCTTTATTTGCAATTCAATTGATGCTCTTGTATTTTTTATTAAGATATACAACGTCGCCTTCCATACTTATTTCAATATTTTTTGGAGCATTTGTGAAGATAGGCCTTTTAAAGTAATCAATGATTTTGCTAAAAGATTTACCAGATTTGAAGGAAGTTGATTGTATTCACTTTACCCCTTTCCCTTTATTTTTATCTTTGAACACGTCCATGTTTTCCACCATCAATCATGAGTGCATTGAAACAATATTTAGATATCCAGATCCTGCTATGTTAACTACAAGTTTAAAGTATGTGTTGCACATCAAAAATTCTCAAAATGGAGATTGTTTCATTCTTATAGATTATTCAAAGCAACCGATAGCTATTCTCGCATTTATTTATTAACACGAATCTTGCAGCTTTTCTATCACAAAGATATCTCACCTTGCCTAAAAAGCTCTTGAACTGTGGAAGAGTTTTTACTCGAATTATATTTACGTGAGATTGTTCAGAAGCCTATTATTCTGCTAGTTTCTTCATTATTCGTTACGTTTATAGACATCAACGAATGTAGCAATGTACCTTGCAAAGGACCTGGAGCTATCTGTACCAACACTGTTGGGTCGTACATATGTAGCTGTAGAGCAGGATACCAGAAAGTTAAAGGACAGGAGGACACTTGTGAAGGTTAAAAAGATTAACTATCTAGTTAAGCGACACTGAATCAAAATTTTTTGCGATTTCTCATTCACTGTCAAGGCCACTAATCTTAGCATGAAAACGTAGTTTTAGCTTCGATACTACGGACCTGATATTAGAAAACAATGTTGGATTGTCAGAACGTTACCAAGAGTTTTATAAGATGTGTTTTCTTTCTATTTTTGCTTAGTTAATTTTCAAAAGAAGAGTTGCCGATGCAAATCAAGAAAATACCAACACTAGTAGATTCCAATAAGTAGAAAGTTTTTGTCCTGCTATGAGGCGGTAATTCTCTAAAAAACATAACATATTATTTATGTTTTTAATTTAAAAGTGATGATGTTTTTTTGAAAACTTGGCAATACGTAGAGACCTCCGTTAAGGCCGGGTTACACCATCACGTTTTTCGAAATTGGACCAACATGCTGGAAAGTGATCGTGTAACATACCAAAATTGTCATTTCTCGCTGCAGAATTTAATGCGCTTATCAGGTGTTAATCCTCTATCATTAGAAATTTTACTCTTAACGAAAGCAGAGTAAAATCAAGTTCATCACTTTTTTTCAAAGGCATTTATTAAACTGCATTTATTTTTCTGTAATGTGCTGCTCGTCGATTTACTCCAAATCATTATTCATATTCGTTTTCTGCTAATAATTATGTTGCTGAGCATAATTCACGTCTTTTCTTCTATTCTCGAAACTCTAGGCCGTTCCTTTCTCATCAAGACATTATGTGACGTAAGAATTTGTCGGCGCCTTTCAAAAAGAGTGATCAACTTGATTTTTCTTTGCTTTCGTTCAGAGTAAAATTTCTAATGATAGAGGATTAACACATGATAAGCGCATTACATTCTGCAGCGAAAATGGACAATTTTAGTATGTACACGATCACTCTTCAGCATGTTGGTCCAATATCAAAAAAAGTGATGGTAAAAAGTGATCGTGTAACCAAGCCTTTAATTATTTTTTGTGTTTTTGAGATTTGTTGTTTTAAAGGCACTTTGTCCCGACGGATTTTGATGACCATTTAAATCCAATTGACGGGACTATCCAATAGATTTATTGTAACGTCTTCAGTCGGCATGTACCCGCCGAGGAGCCCATTTTCAACGTTGATCGGTCGATAGACAGGGCAAAGTACATTAATGCGTTTTCCCTCTCATTGATAGATATTGACGATTGTGCAGTTAACAATGGTGGATGTGCCCACAACTGTACTAATACAGCTGGGAGCTATCACTGCAGTTGCTTGGAAGGATACTATTTGTATGATGGCAAGGAAGGTTTGGTTCCAGAAGCGACTGTCAACCGCACTTGTTTAGGTAAGCTGCTAGACACAAATGTAAGAGTATGTCAACTAATTTGAGTAGTTGCTCTATATAATTCTTTGATAAAGTATTTGCTGTTTGGGACTTGTTTGTCTGAAAAAATTTCCAATGGAGAATACCCTATGGGCAGACTGTGACTTTTAAAAGTTCAAGGGTTACTCTAAAGTACTTGAGCCAGGGAGTTGCAGAAATGTTAGCCCTGCTACAAATGTGTTAACCTTGAACTAAAAAATATATTTGTCGCTTTTGGAACACTATTTAAAATTAACAAAGGGACGGCAATAATTTGTCGTTGTCAAACTCATATTCAAATTCAAGTAAGCTCAGGGACTCATATTTATGGAAAATGTTTCTATATGTCTCAAAAAATCAAAGTTGAGACAAATGCTTCAAATTGTTTATTGACAATTTAGGGGTGATACCTCTTTGTGAGACCCCCGGTTTCATTCCCAATGTTATATGTTTAAGAGATCACTATCTAGATTATTTCGAAGAATGATTCAGAGAAGCGGAATAAGCTTATTACTGTACCTCTAAAAAGTAATGAAATTTTCCCAGGTGTTAATTGCCCAGCACCAGTACCTTTGCTGAATGGGGTTAGAGCGTTTTCATCCTTCCGATATCCAGCGCTTGTTATTTCTCAATGTAATGCTGGATATTTACGAACTGGCCCAAAAGAGATTCGGTGCTTGAAATCAGGCAGCTGGAGTGGTGGCTATGCTGCGTGCAATGGTAAGTTTATTTTATTCTAAACTTAAACTGTGCTTTGATTAAACAACATCTAGGGCTGAATCCAGTGGCGAAGATAGGAAATTTCATAGGGGGGCTGAAAAACTGAGATTCTCCGACAAAAATCTAAGAAGCATATTAATTTTCATGCATTTGAACAAAGTTCAGTTCAGTTCAGTTCAGCTTTTATATTTTAAAATTCCTCTACATACAATATCTTACACAAAATACTTTGAATGACAGGCAATTAATAACAATTACGTGAAATGTTGTTTGCAGGGGATTTTCTTTAGAAGGAGCTCTTTCAGTGAATAAAATAAAAGAGGAGAGAACACCTCTTCTTCTAAAGTGGCTTTAAATGTAATTGATCATTTACATGAGTGGCAGAACAATATATTTCGCTTTAGAATCAAATTTGATAGTCCTTGTTGAATAAATAGGTATTAAGTTTTTGACAAAAACTGACAACAGACAATGATCTTTTTATATCTACTAGAAAAAAGTATTTTATTAAAAAATGTCATTTTTGTGGCATGCTGTGCACCATATTGGTGAGCATTTGACGCAGTTTCAAAGAAGTTGTGACATAGATTCAGAACATAACATAACGACATTAGAACTGAAATATAACAGGAGACAAAGTATAATTTTTTACCCAAAGTCATGTGTCATAAATCATACAGATTGAAGATTTTATGTTCTTCTCTTCGCAAAAGGCATTTTTAAGTTGCCCGCCTGATTCAGAACAACTAAAGAAATCGTTATAATAAGATTATCCTCTCAAATAAAACACTTGGATAAAAATGGAAAACAATGTTATATTTCCGGCAAGATCAGAAATTTTCCGACAAAATAGCTGTTTGGCTTTACAGAGGGGGTTTCGCCCCCCTGACCCCACTCTTTCTACGCCACTGGCTGAATCTAGAAGTTTTCTTGGGCTTTTTAAAAATACTTGGATGTACATTATAACGTAGTTTAGAGCATTGGAAGCATGGCGAATCAATTGGATTGTTACGAATCATTTAAATTAAGATGTTCGATAGCAAACGAGATTCTCTCTTGGTTGAAGGCTTTGAAGATGACCAACAGGCAAAATTACTGCCAAGAATTTAAACTTCATGCAAAGGGCCTTGTCACAATTAGTCGTCTTTGTTATCAATCTGGACGTTTTTTTCTAAGAAATGGTAGGTATTTTAGCATTTAAACATTGTGCAAGAGACTTTTCCGCTGCTTTTTATGAACTTCTGTTATTGCATTTTAGCGGTTAATTGTGGAGATCCTGGGTCATCGGTGAATGCTTTCACCAACGTCACAGATGGATGGAACTTTATGTCAAAAATCAATTACGAATGTTTGGAGGGACACATCAGCGAGAATGGATCACTCCAAAGAGTGTGTCTAGCAAACGAGACTCATGCCTTTTGGACAGGCTTGCCCCTTGTTTGCAAAAGTATGTTTTCATTTTGGTGTGACTGTCTGAAAGCTAAAAATCTAATCGGTTGCGATTACTCAGTGAAACAGCTAATCGGTATTAATCTAATGAAAGAGTTAACGATTGATTGTGACTTTAAATTTCATATTTTCAAGTATATGTTTGCATGATATTTCAGTGTGATGTGGCATATTGAACTTAAAAGGGGAATAAGTGCTTTTGAAAATTTGGATAAGGGTGACGATAAAATTAAAACTTGAACTTGAACTTGACGCCCCAGATACTATGCTCCAACATCAGACTGATGGAAGTGATATTTATTCCTTTAAAAATGATCCCATTATTTTATGATCAAAATTTTTCCCAAGTTTGTTTCCATTGCAGCAGGGGCCCCGAGACTGGTGATAAAAAAGATTTAACAAAACACTTACAACTTTTTCTAAAATGTATTTAGTTGTGAAGCATTTTTGTAGTAGAAATTGTGACTTTATTGACAAATACTATCACAGGAATTTCATGTGGAAGACAATTGGAAATCGCCAATGGCAAACTGGTGTATTTGAATGGAACTTTTTTTGGAGATAAAATCGTGTATGAATGCCAACCCGGATACAATCTGACAGGAGGGAGTCAAAACAGAACATGCTCCTCACGTGGTACCTGGTCAGGAACTGAACCAAATTGCCAAGGTTACCGATTCAATTGCTGAATGCCTATTTAAAATAATTCTTGCTAATCTTAGTCCATTTTATACACGGCGTTATAGTGCGCTATTTGATGCAAGCACCTATGTTATTAAGGGTCTCTAAAATTGGCCCCCAAAACTTATTTTTGACACAAGTTTTGCTGTAAACAGAACAATTCATAAATTTGCCACTTGCATAAGGTTTTAAATCATGTTTTATCATTTTTTCAGCACGACCGTGCCAAGATCTTGGTGTTCCAAAATACGGAAAAAGGAAAGGAATTTCTGTCTTTGGAGAAACAGTCGTATATAGCTGTATCTCTGGCTACTCTCTGTCTGGAGATGTAAACCGCACGTGCAATTTTGTAAGCGGCAAAGGACTGGTGTGGTCAAGCGTTTTACCTCAGTGCAAAGGTAGGGAAGTACGAGTGGCGTAGCGTCCTGGTATTCAAGGTATTCAGTGAATACTCTGAGATATATCAGAAAATAATATCAAAACGACAAAAAATTGTAATAACTTAAAGATGCTTTGGGGCTATTGATTCTGGTTGATAGTTTGTTATATCGTTATAACGAACTCTGAAGGGAACCAGAAAATATTCGTTATATCGGGAGTTCGCTAAACCGAGAGAAAATGTTTTTCAGGTCTTTTCGCAGCGCATGCCTAGAACCTGCAGTGAGCCTGTTTAGGCTAACTCCAACCTCTATGCACATTCAACTCCAAAAAATCAATCTGAATTCAAATGATACAACTGGCTGGTCATTTAAAATGAAAATCGTAATGTTCCTATCATATTTTTGGACCATGAGATTGGCAAAGCTGGTATCACTTCGCTCCTAGTTGGTGCCTGAATGATGTCTTCGATTACATCACATTTTCATTTGTCTTCTGCTTCTCCATCTGGGTCTCTCAATAAAGTTTTGTCATCGCTCATTGCCAATGTCTCATATGTAAGAGGATATTCGTTAGTATCAATGTACTCATTTGAGTCATTTCTGACGCAATCAAACCTTCATCTCGTGCACTGAGTCTATCAGCCAGTGCTAGAAATGTATATTATAAACATATTTTGCCGATTACAAAAGTGATTTTCCCTGAAAGAAAGTGATAAATGAACACCGAAAATAAATAAACAAAATAACAGATGAAAAATTTATGAAAAGTTCGTTTTATGAAGGGTTAATTATAATGAAGGGACCTAAAAATGGTTCGTAATAACGAAAGTTCGATATATCCGGAATTCGTTATACGGAGAGAATTTGTAAGGTATTTATTAGGCAGAATCCAAGGGACCAGAAATTTAGTTCTTTATACCGGGAAGTTCCTTTTATCCGGGGTTCGTATTATCGGGATTCCACTCTTGTACAAGTACAAAATATTAAAAATTTCATGGAACTGTAACGAAGCGAAGCATAGAGAAGCTTGGAGATCTTTGAAGCCAATTTTGAAGATTGAGCTACTTCATGTTTAACGATGTGGTTAACTTTGTTGATTCCCACAATATTTTCCAGCAAGTGTTTTTAGATAAACTGAACGGCGATAGGCCTAGCCCACTTCGTAAAGATGAACACGCAGATAGATGAAGGTAACAAGAACAGCGAATAATAATTCAATAAATGTAATCAACATAACAGGTTGTGATAAGCAGTTAAATAGCAGAAGTAAATAGAATAAAAAGGTCTCTAAATCTCTTCCCTTAGAGTACTTACATTACAAATCACGTCTCTGCTTTAGTTCTCCCCGTTTCTTATTCCTCTCGCTTCACTCATTATTAACATAACAACAGAACCAAATAGAACAAAGTTTATTACGCAGCGTCCAAAAATTGAAATTCCACAATGGAAATCGGTCATGAATACGCAGTGAATACCCTAGACGGTACTTGAACCAATCAAAATGCTCCTTTCCATGAATAATGTTTACCGTGAATCAGCTAAAACAATGGTCCTGTACACTGAGAAGTATGCAGCATCCAGGCTCATAGTTGATTCAAAATAGTCCCGCTTTGAGATCGATATAAACTGCAAATGGACGTCAGAGTGGTTGGAGTGATGGAGCTTTATCGAAAACAGTAAATATGACTTCATTAAAAACTATTGCAATGCCAGTATTGCTGTTTCATACTCTTTCTTTCATTTGACCCCTAATCTACCAACAGCAATGTGGAAAGGTAGGCTTCTACATAATACTACACTCAGATCTGTGCTCTTGAAATGACGGTTCTGTTTTTGCTTGTCAGTCCGTGATGCTTCTGTTTGTATTATTTAATTGAATAGAGTAAATGCTTAGTGCATTCACGCATAGTTGATTTGATTGATTGATTGATTGATTGATTGATTGATTGATTGATTGATTGATTGATTGATTGGTATGACTGATTGATTGATTGATTGATTGATTGACTGTTTTATTGATTGATTGATTGATTGATTGATTGGTATGATTGATTGATTGATTGATTGATTGATTAATTGATTGATTGATTGATTGATTGATTGATTGATTGATTGATTGATTGATTGATTGATATGATTGATTGACTGATTGGTATGGTTGATTGACTGAGTGATTGATTGATTGTTTTATTGATTGATTGATTGATTGATTGATTGGTATGATTGATTGATTGATTGATTGATTGATTGATTGATTGATTAATTGATTGATTGATTGATTGATTGATTGATTGATTGATTGATATGATTGATTGACTGATTGGTATGGTTGATTGACTGAGTGACTGATTGATTGATTGATTGATTGATTGATTGATATGATTGATTGACTGATTGGTATGGTTGATTGACTGAGTGACTGATTGATTGATTGATTGATTGATTGATTGCTTGATTGATTGATTGATTGATTGATTGATTGATTGATTGATTGATTGATTGATTGATTGATATGATTGATTGATTGACTGATTGGTATGGTTGATTGACTGAGTGACTGATTGATTGATTGATTGATTGATTGATTGATTGATTGATTGATATGATTGATTGACTGATTGGTATGGTTGATTGACTGAGTGACTGATTGATTGATTGATTGATTGATTGATTGATTGATTGATTGATTGATTGATTGATTGATTGGTATGATTGATTGACTGATTGGTATGGTTGATTGACTGAGTGACTGATTGATTGATTTATTGATTGATTGATTGATTTTTAATTATTAATACAGGGTAATACATTCAGTAATCAAAAGATAATAACTGATTTAGAATGTGCCCTGTCTAAAAACCTAAGCTAATTAACATTCAATTAAATAACAAAATTTCACCCAAAATAAATGTACAAGTTATTCTGTTAAGTTAAAAATAAAAAAATGAAAAAAAATGTTAGATGCTGTACAAGAACTCTCATACCCTTTGATTTTTCAAAGATTGTTTCAGCAAGTAGTGTTGGCCGATTTCGTTTGCATTCATTATTCGAGGGCCTATTGTGCAGTCTCATCTCATTACCTTCAATTCTTTCAAACATTAACTTGTATTAAATATATCACGATTAAGCCATGAATAAAAATGTCTAGACTGCATACCACACTTGTGACAATCTTTTTATATCTCACGTAATTCCCTTTGTGAATAATTTTGAAACATTCGAAAGCCCTTTTGCATTAAGGCATCAAGAGTAAGTGTTAACAGTTACTTCCCTTTTACATTAGTACATATAATAGAGAACACTTTTGAGGAAATGGTTGGCGGTAATTCGATATAATGGATGAGTTTGAACATTGACTATGGCTTGAAAATGACTATTTGTGTTTCGTTCTGTAGCAAAATATCGCTTTTATCATAGCCAAGCCCTGATAATGCAGCACTTGCCGACTTATGTAGATAAGTAAATCAAAGGTCAATAGCTATTCCTTCAATATTTCAACCCCACCTATTCCCACCAAGCCCAAACGAGCCACACCCTGTCTCACCCTTTTCTTTAATAGGTAATACCTAGCTGAAAAGGTCACGCTACACGACAGAATGTAAGAATATAGATCCGAAAGAACACGATGGAAAAAATATATATTCGGAGGTGGATCGAAATAGACCAATCACAAAAACGCAAGCACATAACCGGTGTCATGTCGTTTCGGTAACCTTATGCATTTCGGTCCGGGTACTCAAACGCATGGCAGTTTTGGTTATGCAATATCGTACCCAAGCACTCAAGCGATAGAGTATCAAAGCGAATGGTGGAATTAAGCATGCAAAACGGTCCGGGTACCCAAACGCATGACATTTTGCTTATACAAAAACGTACCCAAGCCTTTAAAAAACAGGGAACGGAAACGAATGGTGGAATTTAGCATGCGAATCAGTCTGGGAACACAAATTTTCTGGTTCATAATGTTCAGAATGTAAAGAACATTCGAACTATTCCTAACAAGGGGGTACTAACAAGAAGTAGTGCTGTGATTTCCCTTAGTACGTTTATGCAAAAAAGTACAACATTAATGGTGAGTCCAAAGTTTTCTTGATTGAAAGCGTTAAATTTAAAACTCAAAAAGCATTATGCTCAATTTGTTAAATATAACGTGTCATAATATCGCACTACGATGAAATCACATGATTTGAAACATATTGCGTTGCACAATGTTACACTTTTGCATACGGTACCAAAACGCATATTACACCGGCATAGTTGTCAAATCAGTGCTGCGTGTGTCTATAGAAAAATTACCAAAGGGATCAAAGAGAGAAACAAACTACTTCTGTCTACACAATGGCGGATTTTTCGTTCGTATGTAGATACCATGTCGATCTGAAACATGTCGTCATTATATCGTGCTCCTACCTAGCTACGTCACAATTAACTGTGCGTCCTACGTAGCCAGAATCATATTGGCACGTAAATTCATAAACAGCAGAACTCTTTTGGGTGGTAGGAAAGCAATCCTTTTGTATGGATGAAAGGGCTCTCATAGCATTGTAAACAATACGTGGAGTAAAAGCAAAGGAACATTTTCTGATCGTCTGTTTAATCTGATCTGACTTTCAAATCGCGAGGAAGTCTAACCAATCCATGGTAGTTTAAAATCAACTGGGCACTTTGTTTTTGTGATTTATCAGATGTCCTATCTCACGATGTCTTATTTTAATCTTTCTATTTCCAAAACGTAGCTATTCCGGATTTAGGTACTCTTTATAACACTATCGACACTGAAATCAGAGAAAATCATGAAATCAAAATTCAAACAAAGTAATGGCTTAGAAAAAATTTTTATTGGGCAAAAAGTTGGAGTTTTTGTTTTTTTTTAGACTGAAAATTTTATTTTATATTTTAATAAATTTGTCAGCAAAACTTGACGTTGAATGAAAAATCTAGAATGTTTTGCGTACAGTTACTCGAGTTGGCAGCTAAACGTCGAGCGTTAAATAGTCAAATTTAGAGAACTATTGGCTGGGGCTTTGCGAGCCAGCCTCTAAAATGTTCCAAGGTAAACTTCCAGCAAAACTATTTTGTTAAAACACTACTCTACATACCAATACATTCAATAAAACTTCTTTGTAGAGTACTGATTTTTAATGACAGTGCATACAACTTTTTCAGATTTTCCAGCTATACACTTTTGTATTGTATTATTAAATAACAACAGTTTATGTTTCCAATCACGACGTGCAGTATTTTATAATGCATTCTTCTTGTTTAGAATCTCAGCCTCCCTCCTTTGGAAACACTTGCCCCAACAACACCGTGTTGGTTTTGCCTAAAGGAGAAGCAACCATGTACTATTCTTGGAATGTGCCAACAGCAACAGACAACAGTGGAATACCACCGAATGTGACAGTAACGCCAATTTTGATGCCCCCTCTCCAGTTAGGACCTGGAGTTACTTCAATCACCTATCATGCGGAAGATGCAGAAGGAAACATTGCCAATTGCACTTTTGCAATAACAGTTCTAGGTAAATTGCTAATTTTGATGGTATAAGTGAGTCTTTGGTTTAGAACTTGCTCTCATATTGTTGCAATAAAATAGGCAAATTTGCCTAACAAGCTAAACGACTCCACAAATACTAGCAGATTCAGAAACTATTTCTCTTGAAAACTTTAAAATCTTTATATCCTTTGAAATTATGTTTTTGGTTTGTTTCTCGCTACCTGTAGCACAAGATTGTTTATAAAGTCTCAGTAACTTGCAAGTAGCTTATTTGATTTTTGTGGGCGTCCAAGGAATTTTAAGCAAAAACAAGCAAGTAAAAGGGGGATTTAGAAAATAAAAATTAAGATAGAGAAAATTGATATATTTGAGAATGTGTTAAAAGCGCTTACTTGCTATGAAAAAATGAAAATAAAACTAACAAAAATTAAATCTAGAACAAACTTTGTTGTTTCTTCCTATTCTTTTTGGTTAGCTGCCTTCCCCGTTCCATTAAGACTAAATTGCTTATCGGAGGGGAATGCTTAGTCGAGGAATTACGACATAAGCTATAAAAAAGGTTTAATTATGCTGAAATTACTTTTCAATCATTCAATTTCCCATAGACAAAGAAGCACCAGTAACTGAATGTCCAAAGAACGTGATCATATCAAGCGACTTGCCGGTTATCGCCTATTGGGGAAGTGGGTATGCCAAAGATAATACTCGTATTGCAAGTATCGTCTTCAACCCTCCAAACGGAACAACATTCATGTCTGACTCTCGAAATCAAGTGACGATGAATGCTACAGATCTTTATGGCAATCGAGCATTATGTATCATGGAAGTGACTGTGAGAGGTATACGCAGTTTTTTCATTCTTTGATCAGTTTTTGAACTCAGGTCAAATCATTTAGATCACATCTAACACAATATGATAGGAATATTAAGCTATATTCACAATGTTTTGCATGAAAAGTGTCAGACTTTCGTATTCTTGAATGTTGTAGAGCAAAAACTGTAACTTGTGTTGTATCCAAGTGGATATTTTCCATTCTCACCTCAACAGAGGCATTACGTCTGAGTGCTAATTTTTTCACCCCAGTTTTCACCCTATAGGTCCCAGCAGATCGCCATCCACCATCACTTTTCTAAACCCCTACATATGTGCGTACCTGAAGATAACCACCGCGATTTGTCCATTTTCAGGTGGTACCTACCTCAAAATAAACCTGGTCTATCATAGGTTCCAGACCTCCAGGGAAGATGCTGATTATTTTTTCTGTCGTACCCGGCAACAAAATACAAAAATCACTTATGAAACAGAGATTATGCTTCATAAAACCATAAAAGCAATCTCATCTTTTACATTGACCCACAATCTATTTTTAGAAAAGGGAACTTGAGTCCAGACCTCTACCAAGTTTTTTACCAAGTAGATGCAGCGAGTCGATGAAACCACACCTATGTGAAAAATTGCAACTCTTTTTACGAAAGGATGTAAATGAGATGGAGCTGTTTCATTTTCTCGTTGTCATTTTCTTGTTGTCGTCTTGATCACAATTCCCCAAATATAGCTGTCACGTGACATTGATAGTGCACACCACACCATCTCACGCGACACGAGATTGTGATATGTACTTGATATTATCGTTTTAAAGAGTACTATGCGAAAATAAAGGTTGAAACTACAAATGCCGGGAGTAAATTTCGCTGTTTTTGGTTGTGGGACTTGTCGAAGATCGAAGGGCATAGGTATTTTTAAGCTTCAAGCTGCCAAGGATGAAAAGTACAAGTCTTGGCGCGAGCAATGGCTCAGTCAAAATACTAGGACACAGGTTGTTGATGCAGATTTTAAATGGCAGATATTAAAAGACAAAGTTTTTACATGTGAGAAGCACTTCCAACCAGAAGAAATCGAAATATGTAAGTTTTTGTATTCTTGCGTTCAAATATACTTGTGAAGCTTTTTAAGTCTTAGCAACACTTAGCCCATTGTCGGTTGTATCCGTTGATAAGAAAGGCTATAATCCTATATCAAAAATCATCTTAATGATAAAATTTCATAGCCTCATTCATATACCGCAAAATATTATCAAAAATAAGGTTTGTCCAGCGTCTTCAAACGAATGCAACATTCTCCATTGAAGATCGGACGGAGATCAGCAAAAGTTGATTTTTGTTCTTGTTCTTTTTGGTTGAGACTGACAAAATGGTCAAGAAGAAACCTGTGTTTGGTTCTATACCAACGCTGGGTATGCCAAACAAGGCCCAGGACAGAGAAGAAAAAGTAGCAAGACCTTCAAGGAACATCGTCCAAGACATTCTTTCTATTGGAAAGAAATACTGTTGCCTGTCGTTCAAAGATTTTACAACAAGAATTCAAAAGTTGAAATCAATTAGCTGCTGGGGCATTCAAGTGTTGGATGGACAGGAATATCTTCAAATTGGCAGAAGTATCATATCTCTTAACAAGATATTAGATTCAGGTTGATGATATCCTTGGCTTTTCAATTTATTGCTTTGGTTTTTTCCTTCCAAAGACATATCGTATTTACAAGGAAAACAGACGTTCCACGAGGCTCAACTGTTGAAAGTCATCAAATTTGTGATGGCATCAAAGAAGATACTCAACATCGGGAGATTATTCGATATGTTATACAAAAGTCACATGACCCACTTAGAGATGACTACATTGCATTCAACTGTACAAACAGTAGAAGGCATGTATCTTGTGATGTTCTTTGTGACGGTGAGCCTTAAAATGGTTGTGCGGACTTTAAAGTGCTTTGCACAAAGGAAGTGGCAGGGAAAAAAGAGGGCAACAAGTTCCTGTAAAACTTAAAGGTCCTGTTTCCTTCACATTAGCCCCCAGCACCTTAAATTAACACTTCAAGAACAGCGCTTGAAGTGCTCACAGCTGGAAAATAAAATTATGACAAGGAAGTTGGCCAAGACATAATCAAGATATTTGGTGGGAAAGATGAAAAAAACATCACATTCTTCATAAACCTATTTTGGCAACAGCAACAGAATCTTATACTTATTTTCAGATGCTCCACATTTTCTGAAAACTGCACGAAATTGCCAGTATAATCCTGGTAGTGGCAGACAGTCAAGATATATGTGGAATGAAGGTAAAAATTTACTTTGGCAACATATATCTGAAATGTATTCTCTTGATGCTGAGAATTTTTGAAAGTCATACCAAAGATCACATATGAACATGTAAACCTCACTCTCTATTCAAAAATGTGAGTGAATTTAGCTGCCCAGAGGTTAAGCTCCACTATGGCCAAAGGCCTTCTTCATTTTGGTGGAAATGAAGTCTCGGCTACAGCACAGTTCTTTCAACTCATGGAATCTTTTCATGATTGCATGAATATTAGAAGCACCACTGAGCATGTACACAGACGAAAACAAAATCTTGCTCCATACAATTCTTCACTGACCCAAGGTTTGACTGGCTACAATGTGTATTCCTACAGTTTCTTGTAGATTGGAGAGAATTTATAAAATAGCAGGGAAGAAGACTTCAGCAAGACAGCCAGAAGCAAAATGTTTATTTCTTGGCAAACATTTAAATGATTTCAGGTAACTGTCTATTCTGCCCTTGATGATATTAAACTCTTCCTAGCAGAGAAAGCTGAATTTGCCCTGTCCGAAAGATTCTGTCAGGATCCATTGGAGGAGTATTTTGGAAATCAAAGAAAGCTCGGGGGGCGCTCCAATAACCCAGACTTGCAAGCTTTTGGTTACAATGACAATACCATTCGCAATCAGAAAAGCATAACCTGCGAGAGTGGCAATGCCCGTGGTCGATATGACAGGGAAAAAAGTTGGCAGAATGTTTCAAACGATCCTTGCTTAACGCAAGCAAATATTTTACAAAAGTTAAATCGATATTATATAGAAAAGCATTAAAGGACACTGGCAACAATGTGAGATGTATGCATTATTGGTCTACCCAGCATTAACTTTGGGTTATTTAGAAAAGAAATATATAATAATAATAATATAAATAATAATAATAATAATAATAATAATAATAATAATAATAATAATAATAAATAATTTGTTTGAAGTTGACGTACTAAATGAACGCCTAGTAGCTATAAAGAAGCTAATTAAGGCCAACTAGTCCAAATGTTTTTGATGCTAGCTGCTTGAAGATTTTCCATTTGGAACCAAAATATATGTTAATTATTCTGTCAATAATTCAAAACAATCAAACATTAGATAAGGTGTAAACACCTACAGCTAATTAAAACTCAAACTGTGAATATTATCAATTTAAAATTATAACAACATTATATACAGTATAAGAAGAAAATCAAGTTAAGTCAGAAAAACATTATTTTGGCTTGTTATTATTTAAGTTGTGATACATTCTGGCATTGCTTATAATTTTCTTGAATGTTTGTATCAATCTTTAATTGCCCATTTTTGAAACATGGCAATCTTTTTTTTATTGCCTGAGGAAACTTCATCAGAAACTTTAGAATGTTGACAAAAGTAATTTAATTAGAAAAAAATTAATCTGTATCAGATTTTTTGCTTTGTTTTCCTGTGTTAACTTTATTTCCTTTCTCAAAGCTTTGCTTTTAGAATGTTTAGCTTGTCTTTGGCAAGCGAAGAAGATCGAGCCCTTATCAAAAGATACAATTGTATTACATTAGCCAGTCATGTTCATGACACATGACCTGTAATGCAATATATGCATAAGTCTGGGAATAAAACCTTTCTGCATTACCATCTTCCATTAAATTGTTAAAATGGTCTGTAATTTCTCTGAGTAGTTCTTCCTTCAAAAACTGATTCTGATCAACTCCCTTAAGCTCTTTTCTATGATTTTCTGGGTAGCATTCGTTGCTAATAAACCTCAACTTTTCCTCACATATGATATTGTTTAGCGGTGAAATATCCAGAAGGCCTTCTTCAACAGTGTTTTTGTGGCTTTTTGTGTGCTCTTTAATCCACGCCTGCTTTTGCAACCTTTTTTGCAAATTTTACAGGTGTAATTCCCAGTTGTTACCTGATGAAAAGTAAACATTGTAAGCAAATGTAGACAGATGAATAGATAAAATAATTTATAAACGGAACAAGGGTAGGAACAAACATAATAAACTCGTATCAGTTCTATTGACTGTAATGTTGACTGTCAACAATGAAGTTGTCGATATTATTAAAGATTTCTCGCACCGTATTAACATAGAACCTCGTATTTAATCATTCTTTGTCTTCGAGTACTTTATCAAAAGCTCTTACTCATCGTTATAACATAAAATATCGTATCGAATCGATTTATTTGATATTATGCTTTCTTATCAATTACAATTAAATCGAGGTAGGCTGGAATAAGAATCTACTCTAGGTAGGCCAAGAGGGAATTATGAACTCGAAGTTTGTTTAGCAAAATTTATATTTCTTAAAGAATGGATGCAAAAATAACCTACTTTATCGATTGCTTCTTCAAGAGTCTCTTCTAATCCTCCATTATCTTCAACTGCGTTCATTATTGCATCGAAATTGTCCCCAGTAACCAAAGCACATTATTCAACGTAGCCATTATCGCAATGTTGTGCACGATCAATGTCATGTGACCTTTGCAAACTATCTTGCTCAACATCAAAAACAGAATAATAGAAATCCCTTTTGAAGTTCGCCGGCATTCCTAACCAGAGATTTTTCTATTATCTATGCTTTTATAGTAGAACCCTTAAAAACTTCGGTTAGGCTTGTTGCTAGATGGTTATGCGAAATTCTGTCTATACACACATTTTTTCTTATAAGAAACTGGCTATAAGAAACGAGTACTGGACAGTCAGAAAAATTAAGAAACTTCAGTACTCGAAGCAAAAAAAAATTAGAAACTATTAAATCGTGATAAAACTGAGAACAGCGAAATTATGTATAATACAAGAACATGATTGCCCTGTTCGCCTAGAACTTAAGACACCTGGGGTAAAAATATACTTCCCACACCTAAATACTGCATCAAAGCGAATCTCTTGACCAGATAAAAAAGGTCATGAACATTTCATAACATCATTCATGACAAGAAACTCTTAAGAAAAAACGAGTATTGAAATTTATAGAACATTAAGAAACTTGAGTACTCAAAATCGACCTTTGTTTCTTATAATAAAACATGAGTGTGATGTCAGACAGGTAGTGGCATAGTTTAACCGATGTGATAAAGATTTGTGAACGTTCAACGGTGATCTAGCTTTGAATTTCTTTAAGACATTAGATGATTTTGTTTGATTGCACTGTACTTTTTTATGTGTGACCTATGTGTGTTTGAACTTTCATTAAGGATGTGGCTGTCCGAACAACAGAACATGCAATATTCAGCCGGACAATGGTGTTGCGTCTTGTCATGTCAATTTGCCCCTAACATCCTGCAATATTTCTTGCAATACGAACTACACAATAGCAGATAAGACAGTGACGGCACCAACCTTACACTGTCCTGGCGGAAACTGGACTCAACCATCACCCGGTTGTGCATGTAAGTTTACAAAGAAACACGTTATAAAAACCACTTTAGAAGTTCTTAATTTGGCCGCATAATCTGAAAGAACGGCACAAAATACCTCTCATCATTTAAATTAGATACGTTCAAATTTGGCCAAGATATGGCCAATGAAAGATTTCTAGTTTGCTAACAGATGACTGTTGTTCTGCCTGATTCATAAAGTTATGAACCACGATAAAATTAGAGAGGTGTAATGGGGAAACAGCCTCTGCTTATTTGGTCATACCTCAGCCAATTTATAACACATGCAGGTGACTTTGCACATTTAGAGGTATTCCACAATGTCTGTTAGGATTATATAGTCAAAACTGAAAAATTCTAAAAATATATTTTTGTGACGTCATCACTTCGGTACTTTATATTAGTTCCTATTAGAAAACTTTGTTGCTTCATATGCCAGTACTGGATTTTACTTTTATGGCATGTTATGCCGCTCATCGCAACTGTTCTGCTTTTATAATCAATTATAATTTGGGATAAGCATCCAAATTTTATACAGGTAGATATTCAATTCTTTCTACTTTTTGGCAACTTTGTTTAATTTTTCAGTGAAGAAGACTGTTGATATTTACCACAAGATTGGAATAGATGTTATATTCGACATTTCTATATTCGAGTCACCCTTTTACGATAGTTTCTGGGAAAAAGGCCTAGCATCGCTGCCCACATACCTCTATGGGTTGTCATTATGGCCAGAATTTGCAGATATTCAGATGTCATGGCGGTTTACTGGTAGTATACCAAATAGATACAAAAATACAGAGACGTTCCATTATGTATTTTATGTCAGGTTTTCATCATCGGTTGCCATACAAAATATGACCAATGCGAGGCTACGTTCTTTTGCTGTCGCTCTTGAGGCCGAAATAAAAAACCGTCAATCAAATGTAACTGCTGCAATTAGTCCAATTGGGTCGTATTCCTGTCAAGGTGTTTCGGTATCTTATTCACTAAAACCACGCTGTAATCGCACTAGAGAAACCTGTTGCCCACTCAACAGTGTTTTTGTCAAAACCTCATATCTGGCTTCGGATTATTGTTGTGAGTTATTTCTCATTCTCATCATTTTCATCTTCTTCTAGCACTTTGTTTACATAACATTGTACTTTTCCTCTATTTTAATACCGTTATTGCTATGCTCAACCACGCAGATTTTGTGACGCTATATAAGCATCTTTGTTTAGGAGACAAACGAGCGAAAACGTTCAAATGTGAACTTGTTCCGTGCGCATGCTCTTTGCTTCAAGGATGGAGGGTTGCTTAACTAATCAAAAGACTTTCTTTTGTTTGTCTCCAAAACAAATATATTCTATAACAGAAGCTAAAGAACACTAGTCACTCCTAGTTTTGAACTAATTTCTTTTGATTGCTAGACGCCTGCACCCCTGGGATGTATTATAATTCAACAACGCAGAATTGTCTTGGATGCCCAGTTAACATGTATCAACGCTTTAGCAACAAAGCCAGCTGTGTTCAGTGTCCGTCCGGTTCAGGAACTCTAAGAACCAACTCAAAGAAGTGCCTAGGTACTGTAAGCTTACTCTATGAAACATTAACCTCGAATATTTGTTCGGGCGACTAATTTCGGACAGAAAATTTCATTTTTGGACATGGTAATGGAGAATATACAGATTTTGGAATGCAAACTTTTCAATTTCAATTTAACTTAAACTACAACTACAAGTCTCACTATTACAAGGTGATTTGCAATTGGCTAGCTTGGGTTTACAAAATATGATGGAGAGATTTATAAATATGGCAGATTTGAAACTTTGTCTTAGGTCTGAGACAAGGCAAGTATAATTTAAACGTTTCCTTTCTGCATTGGAGTTAAGGTTAGTTTTTAATCATATTGTTAGTTCCAAAACAAATAAAATGTTTTCCTTTGTCTGCAAAAGTAGATCTGGGCGCAGATTCTCTCCTGTTATGATGGATGGTGAGGAGAAGCCAGGTATATTGGCAAAAAGAGTGGATCCCTTTATTGCTTTCAAGGAGGTTGCAAGAACTTTTAAAGCAGAATTATGATGCCAGGTAGTACCTGCCAGGTACAACGATATTGTTCGAGAAAAACTTTGCAGCCTACAACGACATTAGTCTGGGCTGTTAGAACATGAATCGTGCAAATTGTGATGCCAGCATGAAAATAGCTAAACTGGGGTAATTTCACACGCTGATGACGATGCCAAACAGACACAAGCCGAAAAATGCCCCCAAGTGCTATTTTTAGACTGGGGTACATGGCCCCAGTCCTCCAACTGGGCCCAATCTCCATATGTCATTACTTATTTATGAAAAAAGTGGGAGATAAAAGATTTAGGTGCATTATCATATAGCAAAATATATTAAGAGGAAAGGAAATGAAAAATGGCCCCTTTATGCTATTTTTAGAACATGAAATTGGTACCCATGTCTCTATTCAGGCATTCTTCTCTAAATGATTACTCTCTTTTATATGAATATGAAATGTAGCTTTCTCCATTCTTACCTCTTGATGTAATTGTAATTGACAATCTTACCCCTTGATGCTATTTTTAGAATGAAGTACTGGAACCCAGTTCTCGAATTTGGATTTTACCTTCATAGTCTAGGCTCTAAGCACAGTATTTGACATGAATTGTGCAAATTGTGGTATTAGCATGAAAATGTGTACACTGGGGCAATTTGACACGTTGATAATGATGCTGAACAGACACAAGCTGAAAAGTGCCCCAAGTGCTATTTTTAGACTGGGGTGCTTGACCCCAGTCCTCAATTTTGGATTTCATCCATATGTAGTTAATGGCTTTGAAAAAAGCAAACATTTAGTAAACTAAAGCTTTTCGTCTGACACTCTTCAGAGTTTAAAACGTCAGAACATAGACCGAAAACTCTACGCTAGGAAATATATATACCCAGTTGTGGATCGAAATAGGCCAATCAGAAACTCGAGCACATGACTCTTGAGGTTGACCAATCAGTGCCGCTTGCCTATTGAGAATGTTACCAATAGAGTCCTAAGGTGAAAACGAACTCCTTTTGTCAACACAGTAGCGGTTTTTTCGTGCTTATGTAGATAGATTCCAAAACTGCTAGGTGGAACGACGATCGGGTTTTACAAATAATCCAAAACATGTCGCCATTATAGTTTTTTGCACAATCTGGGTTTTCCAATAAATGCTGCCCGATAGCAGAATCGCAGGTTTTAGTTGTACTTTTAGATCTGCAAGACCGAGGTGGCTGTTCTCTTTGAGGGCGAGTTTTGGGGACTCTGAAGAGTGTCAGACGAAAAGCTTTAGTTTACTAAATGTTTGCTTTTTTCAAAGCCATTTTCAAGTTTTGTACCATCAAAAGATTGTTTATATGTAGTTAACTAAAGTTTAAATTGAGCATGAAGGTATAGGTTTGAACACAATTCTACACGATAAAAGTATAACAAAGAAACAATTAAAGTATCACCCTTGATGCTATATTTAGATTAGGGCTGTTGCCTCTAGTCCTCTATGTACTCTTGTACAAGCCATTACTTGCTTTTGACGTAAACATGATAGTATGGCTGTCTACCTTTTTGGTTAACCAGACAATATTTTTAGAAAATAGTAGAATATCACCTCTAGATGCTACAAATAATAGACCCACCTTTTCGACTTGCTTTCATTGCAAGTTATTAGTCATTACTGCTTTTTAACATAAAAAGACTAGCATTCTATACTTTGTGATACACCAAAATATAACGGAGAGATAAAATTCCGCCTATTTTTTCTTTTCTGAATGGGATACTTAGATCCAAGCTCATTCGACTTTTTCATCTACTGTTGAATATCGCTAATTTTGATGTAAATACTAAAGTGTAGCTTCATACAACTTTTCAATCACCGAATAATGTTATGAAAAAACGCAGTTAATATATGCATAAAGCGATATGTTTGAATATGTACGCTTTTCCTGCCTCTGAAGGTCAATGCAATTTATCACATGTACAAGAAAATGTGACTTTCACATTTCGCTACTTCTTAAAGTCTCATACAATTTGTATAAAATGCTGACTATCCAAAGTAGCAGAAATGCTAAATACCCTTACTGAACTTTCAAACTCGAACATATTCGGAGGGGCGAAGATCGTTATAATTATAGGCTACTTTCAAATACCATTGATGTTATATTGGCAGCCAGCGCGAGTAGTTTGTATGACCAAAGCTAAACATCCAAGGTGCAATCTAATGAAGGAAGGGCCGGTCGCATGGGGGGGGATGTGGGGGATGTAACAACCCCCAAGAATAGACATTTGTGTTTTAGTCGGTAAAAATGGGTGGATGATCTTTTTCAAAATTTTCAAACGAAAAATTGTCCTTCATGTAATTTTTAAAAACATTCAAAATATTAAAAAGTTCTGCAGTATAATTTTTCCGTTAATTCAGAAGTGGATTTTCAGGAACATCGCAGAAGAAGATTAATCCCAAGAAATTTGACAAAAACAGAGACAATTTTAGTTAAATCTTTCCTTTCCCACTTTTTTCATAAATCAGTAATGATATATGGCGATTGGCCCAATTCGAGGACTGGGGCCAAGTACCCCAGTCTAAAAATAGCACTTGGGGAATGTTTCGGCTTGTGTCTTTCCGGCATCATCATCAGCATGTGAAATTATCCCCAGTGTACCCATTTTCATGCTGGTATCACAATTTTCACAATTTAAGTCAAATACTGTGCTAAGAGCCCAGACTAGATGGAGTAAATTTTTGGGAAGAAGGCAGAATTCGTAATAATATGATTGGCTTTGGTTCCATAGGCTTAGATTTTTGTGCGTAGGGAGAGTATTGTGCAGGTATTTGATGGTGAAGTTGAAGATGTTCGTAGGTAGATTCCTCTGCACAGTAGATCAAAGACTATTGAGCTTTTTAAGATAGTGGTCCAGAAGAATTGAAATAATAGCACCCTGGGATAGTAATTGGTGTGCCAAGCGCTCTCTACTGTCTGATTTTACTGCTTTCAGTAAGTCTTTGGTGTTACGGTAGATGCCGTATTGCAGATTCATTCCACTACTGGTGTTTTTCCATAATGCTTGAATGTTTGTGTTAAAAGAAGTTCGGAGGGCATTGCATGAAACAGTTTGGCATTGAGTGAATTTGACAGAAGGTAGATAAAGATCAAGACCAAATTCAACTTTAGAAAGAACTATACTAGTGGTGGTAGCACTTATGGGAAAATCAAGCCATTGGCAAATGTATTTAGAGACAAGATTATCGAGGTTTTCAATGACACAGGTCTTTGATAGGTCTGCAACAGTAAACTGCCAAGAAACTTTGGACAATACATATCTGTGGTACAGCAACAGTAAACTGCCAAGAAAGTCTGGACAATACATATCTGTGGTACAATAGAAATTTATTTTTCGGATGCAGTGGCAAGTCATCAATTTCTTTCAAAAGGCTGGAAAACATAGCAGTTTTTCTTTATCATTGGCATTGGTCAGTTCGAAGTCAAGGGAAGCGGCTGAGGTATTTGAAAGATTGTCCATTTCTAACAACAGGCACGCTTTGGTTGTTGACAAAAAGCTTTGGCTGGAACTGAAGAGATCTTGTTGAGTCTTTCTTAATGCCAAAGGTGACATACTTATCAACCCTGGCTGGTACATGCGGTTGTTTTCGTCGTGGGGAGAGAAGCCAAGCTGTTTATATTTTTCTGATTGAATACAAGAGGGCTGAGGCAGTCACCTTGAAGAACACCACCACAAACGATAATGGCAGGGGTTTGGAATGTATCTGTGAGGATAGACGTCTTGAAGCTGGATATGAGACCAGAGCCTGGATATGAGATGGTATATGGTGGTACGAAAGACTAGAGGGAATCAAATTATGGTGGACCTCACCAAAAGCAATTTTGAGATCAAGCAGGGTAACAACCAAAGAGCGCTGTTTTGTGCGAGCTTTGTTTATCATATGACCCAAAAGTGCCGTGTGTTCTGAATTACCTGATACCTTGAGAGTGAAGCCTTTTTGAATTTGACTTTCAATGAATCCATTTTGTTCAGAAAGTTGAAAATAGTGTTACGTAGGCAGGAGGTGAACATTTTTAAGGGAACAGATTCTAAGGTTATTGGTCTGAAGTTAGGAGGATCATCTGTATTGTCTTTTTTGTGGATTATCATCGTTTATGCTTTTCTTCATTCGGATGGAACATTACCAGATACCCAGATGCTATGAATAATTTTAGTAAAGAAAAGTCGTAGGTAAGGGCAACGTTTCAAGCAAATTATGGATATCTTGTCAAAAGGACAGGGAGAAGTAGAGGATTTCATGCGACGTATAATAGAAGTTATAACCTAATATGATGGAGGTTTGTGTGTCAAATGGATAGGTTCGTTCATCGAAAGAAGGTATCCAAGAAGGAATAGTGAATCGTTCATTTGGATGAAGGGCAGAAAGTTTTATCGAGAAGTTGGGAAGACAGAAAACACTGTAGATGAAATACCGTCAGAAAGCCAGGTTCGTGAGTTTTGGAACAAAATTTGGGGTAATGAAAAAGGACATAATGAGGATTCTGAATTTCTAAGAGATCTAGAAAGCAACACTGGCAATATACGGACACAGCAATGGGAAAATTTCAATACTGACGAGATTGGAATGGCACAAAGAAAGTCTCACTAGTGGAAATCCCCAGGAATAAACCAAGTTCCTATTTTTTGGCTAGCCAACTTACACTGTACACACTTCAGATTAGCTTCAAATTTCAATAAGTTGATAATAGAGCAAGCTTAACAGCTAAATGGTTCTGCTTACGAATCACAACTTGCATCATCATCATCATCATCATCATCATCATCAATTAAATTAACTACAGTACAATTTAATACTTAAAGACATTGAGTCATGATAAATAGACTGGGTATATCCTAAGTGCCAAAATCCGATGAGTCATGATTTCCATGACTGCGATGCTATTGGTTGACCTTGAACTGGTCACATGAACTCACCTCGTACTGATTAACATAACAGTTTTCATCAATAGCAAGTTGTCAACAATGAATGCCAATATCACATGAAACAGCAGCGATCACGCCGAAACCAAATGACCCCCTATAGAGAAAGCCTATTTACCATGTCTCAATGCCTTTAAATAAGTTCTTTACGTCTAAATGACAAATTAGAGCTTTTTACGGAAAAAAAAGAAAATTAATTAATTAATTAACAGCAACAACAAGTAACAGTACGAACATGATTAAGCGACAGCTATTGAATTTCATGTAAATTCAGCCAAAACAAACAAGGAAAGAGAAGCAAAAACTACATCAAAGAACTTAGTCTGCTTTACAGGAGGTGACCTGCATTGTTTTTGGTACCTAAAAATTTCCCTTATAAATCTTGCAATATTCATCCAGAGTTTTTTATTGTTGTCTGTTTTTGTCATCAATACCTGCTTGCTAACATCTTACAAACTGCTAACATCAATTCTGTCTGAAAGAACATATGCACAGATGGAGGAACAAAACATCTTTACCATTGAACAAATAGGATGAGAAAAGGATCCTACGGCTGCAAGGACCAACTTCTTATAAATATAATGATATTGGAAAACGCAAAACTTAAGTACTGTATGGATTGATTACAAAAATGCCTTTGATAGTGTTCCCCACTCATGGATTCTACGATGTCTTGAAATGTACAGTGTCTCCTACTCTCGTTAATTTCCTTAACCATAGCCAGACAAGGGGTTGGGCACAAAGTGCCAGTTGGTTTTTCTTTCATAACTTCACGAGTTTCAAAGCAATTCCCCTCAGACCTCCTGACTTTTAGTTTTAACCTGACAGTCACATGTTCATACAAAAAAATTAAATTTTTTTTGTCAATCAAGGGGTTATATAGGGGCGTTTTTAAAGCTAGTCAAGTAGAAAAATGTTTAATCTGCCACGGATTTGCAACTAAAGTAGGTGCACTGATGAAAATTAGTATCAAGGCATTAATTTGTGTACTTTTCATGATTCTGAAAGCACGACCCGATAGCTCAGCGGTAGAGCACTTGACGTACAAAGTCAGGGGTCGTGAGTTCGAGCCTCGCTCGGGTCGGTTATTTTCCCGCTCTCTCTATTAATTATCTTCGAAATCCTGTTGTCTGTAATCTTTAGATTTTTTAATGATCTGTTGAATACATCAACGTATGTAGCGGTTTTTTCGTGCTTATGTAGATAGATTCCAAAACAGGTGGAACGACGATCGGGCTTTACCAATAATCCGAAATATGTCGCCATTATAGTTTTTGCACAATCTTGGTTTTCCAGTAAATGCTGACCGATAGCAGAATCGCAGGTTTTAGCTATAATTTTAGATCTGCAAGACCGAGGAGGCTCTTCTCTTTGGGGACGACTTTTGTTTTCAATACTAGGCGGAACATGTTGTTTAATCCTGCTTCGGCTTGCTTTCTTGGCTAAAATCTTCGCTGTCTTGGTTGTTTCCCATTCTGCTGACAGTAGGTTTACATCCCTCTGTCTGTCTAGCTTGAATTTCCGGGTCACGGCACCAGTTATTTGATCAGAGGTCTCGTCCATATCAACAAAAGAGAAGCTTCTAGCTCTGATTCATTTACCTCAAGTATGTCTTCCTAACTCAACAATAATGAACAACAACATACAAATCTACGCTTTTATTTATATCCAACAACAAGTCCAAAGTCCAGCTATTTTTAGAACAGACGCTTTTGTCTCAGGAAATGACAAAAACTACTATTTTACTAAACGCAAGTCTCATGAGGGTTTCTTGTTTACAAAATTTTGGGACTTGTCTCTCAGTGCAGTTACTTACTCGTACTTCTCATAAGCGTGTCTCTTGAGGGAGTTTTGACCTTTGGACTCAGAGTGCAAACTCCTTCTTCAGTGTTCATAACAACTGTTCTGCGTCTGAATTATCATGAAACTCCAGAAAGCAAGTTGTTTGACAAAGCGAAAAGTTTCTACTGCCATTAAATTTTGCTTATAGGTCAGATCACATTGCTCTTTCCATAACTTTTGCTCAGTTTTGAAAGCTCTTCCTGATGATATCATCAAATTTGAAAAAAATTCGAAATTCTAAAATTTTGTTAACCGCGTATTTCTTATGTTTTCGGAAACGCAACTTCCGGTCATTTGCCAGAATGTTCCTAAGGCTTAAAATGATCAGTGGTCTTACTCTTATGATTTAAAGTTTAAAAACTTGGGTTAGGCAGGTTGCTAGATGGTTATGCAAACTTCCCTGTCTATTTTTGTTGTCCAGTAAGTCATCAATGGCATTTTTGTGTGTGTAATTTTCTTCGTAGCATTATTAAAATCGGGAGTTTTACGCAAAATAACAAGTGATATAAGATAAATTCATCTATAACATAACGGCGTTTACAACAAAGCGTGTCCACTTGGCATTTATAAATTGTTATCGGAAATTTCAAATATATAAGGTGTGAATTGATTTGCAAATATATAAGATCTGATTTTTTTTGCAAATGTATAAGGTCTATGCGCGAACAATATGCGCAGCGACTTTCATTATGTTCTTCAGGGTACCCAACAGGGTATGCCGTCTTTACTGATATGCAGCTTTCATCAGTAGTGATGTTACTTTCAACCAAATTGCATAGTTTACAAATATTGTGTAGTCTACAAAAAGCTCCCTTCGATTCACGCACAAATTTTCAGGTGTTTCTCAATCACATTAACATTAAAAACGCTTATAACATGTAAAAAATCTTGCGAATGTCTATCAAAAATTTGAGCAGATTTAAATTACTACTGAAAGCTTGTCGTCGAGCCTGAGATAGTTGTCCAGGAAGGTCAACCAGAAACTGTTGAAAGTCAACTTAGGATGATATAACTAATATTCGCTTGTATTGCTTAGGGCAGTCTTTTGCCTCTGCTGCTCACACTTGGCGGAAATGTCAATGCACATACCGTTCGCGCTTAGGCCTTATACATTTGAAAACAAATTTGGACCCTGAATATCTGAAACTTCCGACCAAAATTTATGAATGTCAAGTAAGCACGCTTTAAGTTAGGAGAAATACCGTCGATATGAATTGTACAACAGATTTTTAAACAATATATTTACAATTACATCATACATTTTGCATAATAGACTCTTGTCCCACATGGCAGGGTATAAATAACTCTATATTTTGTTGATTCTAACATACCTCTGCTCAAATTTGCTTGTCGACGAATCTTTAGCAATTCAATTGACGGCAATACCAAGGTGTTGAAATGCCACTCTGAGTGAAGAACATTGTTTCATGGGGTGAGCTCCATAGTTGGAAATACGGAGAAGGGTTCTTTATCTTAGAGACTGGTATTTTTGTACGAAAAATGTTCTTTTTGGGTTTTTCAAGAAGTTAATTGAACATTAGTTAATGGAAACAGACAATTATTCATATAGATGATTAATTTTACGATATTCTCGATATACAATGTACCTAAGCTGAGTGAAACTTTTACTTTCAATAATCGTTACCTTTATTTTCACAGAATACTGTAAAGTTGGCACATTTTCTAGCGATGGCTTTGGTCCCGTTTGTCGCCCGTGTCCAGTTGGCGAGTACCAATCGTCTGAAAAGTCGACCAAATGTGTCAAATGCCCGTCTGGCCAATCAACAAATTCAACTGGTGCAAAGTCAATAGCGGAATGTGTAGGTAAGCAATATCGGCTTTTCTGAGGCCATTACTAAACGAATATATAGTCGCAAGTGCATAACCTTTAATCATATAGCTGATTTCCTTTAATCACTAAGCAACTGAACAGGGGCGCACATTTGGTGTGTGTGTGGTTGGGGTGTGTGTGTTGTAAAAGTGCCTATTACTTTGAGTACATTTTAGAATAAAGAACATGACAGAAGTATACTAAAGGTTATATATAGTGAAAGTGAGGTTCACATAATATCACGTGATATAAAGTCCTACTACAGACTGTGTGTTTGGGGGGGGGGCAAACACCTAAAAAAAATAAGAGTCGATCCAAAATTTTTGATTGTTGGTGAATAGTTGCTCCACGAAGAGTTTAGATAACTGCAATCTAGCTCGGTCCGATCTTCTTATGTTTTGGGCACAAGTTGGTCAGTAATTTGATAATGACTGAATTAAAAATTACAGGTTTTTCATAAAAGAGCAAAATAGAAATCGAACGATTCAGCCGTGTTTGCACATAGTTCATGACCGGTAACCTAAAAAGCCTCATCTTCAAAATTCAATTGTCCTCTTATTATCCGTATGTTTGGCCCGTGAAAGTGAGGCTTTGCAGGTTTTAAGCCATTGGCCATAGGCCAAAAATATAATCCGGCTAACAGATCTGAGTCCTCTGATTTCTATCTTCAAAAGTTCAAAACGTAATATTACCGCCGAGCGCAGAATTATCGGCGGGTTTCTCAAAAACACCCCGTAACCATGGATGTAGTCGTAAAATTTTAACAAAGCGGGCCCTACTGCAGTGAGGGAGGGTCATGGGCGTGGTATGTGAGACCATGCCCCTTTTGCCTCGTTTCAGTATTTTGTACCAAGTTAATTTTCCTTAGGAAATATGTTCTACCCCTACCTAGCGCTTTTTAATCAAATACAACAAGTTCCTTAGGAATTCCAACACATGGCATGAAGTTGAAAAATTGTACCATTATGTGAAAAAATTTATTGCTTTTGGTGGATTGGATAAAAGACTTGGAACCAAAGTTATCGGAGTATGTAACCACGCTGCGCCCCCCTGAGCCCCTCTCTACCACTACCTCCCTGCCCGCAAATTCTACCTTTGTACGCCCCTGGTATCGATGTTGTGCAAAATCATTTGGATTTAGTGTGAGATCTTGAGATGATATTTGATTATTGCTGTTTGCAAGGTTTATCGTGGATTGTTATACAGTGTCCTCTTTTAGTACTATATATTTCTTTTATGTAAATTGTCCTCGTTAGCTAGCTATCTGGCTAGGGCGCCTTCGACGCCCCTTTGGGGTGAAAATTAATTTCGGCACCCCTGATATTTGGTCGGCAAGGGGGCAATCACCCCCTTCCCCCCCCACCTGCCAGCACGCCACTGAAGTGGAGTACTCAACATCGAAATTTCTTTTTTAAAAAACAACGTGTGTTGTCAAATTTAGAAAACTCGTACTTAGAACATTTGGGAGTTAATTGGGTTGATATAAGTTTGCGTGCTTGATAACAATGTAATACCCAAACCAGGACATGATCAAGAAACTTTTCGTCGCGAAGGTAGGATTTTCCATATTTTTTTTAGTTTTCAGAAGTTATTGACTTGGTCTCCAAAAATGTTACGATAACTGATCGTTTTCTTTTGTATTTGTACAGGGCCCTTTTTATATTCGCAAAAATGATCACACTTATTAATATACCGTAAAAGCTTTATTAAGAACCCAAGGGGCTTATTTTTTTCAGTCCTAAAAAGGGGGGAGCTTAAAAGAGAGGGGGCTTATTAAAAATTTGAACCAAATATGTTTTAAAAATGCCTTTGTTCATTTTCATCATGAAAATGTCAAACAAAGGTTCTCAAAAATCTTCACTAGCAGCTTCGAAAGTTCAGTTAATCAATTATAAGGTCCTCATTTTCATCAACATCACCAGGATAAATTGATAATCCTTGGACATCTTCAAATTTCGACAGACTACTAAGTCACACAAGGAAGTCTTTACGTAGGCCGTATTTAAATGCACACGATCTAATCATCATTATACCCGTCAAGAAACCCACTAAATGCGCATGTTTTTAATGTTGACAACCAAGGCTAAAGAGGGGGGAATAGAGAGGGGGGCTTATTTAAAATTTTTGTTCGATAAAGGGGGACTTAGGCCCGGGTTATACGTCGTGCTTTTCATGTGCCGAACCAAATTGCTAAATTAAGTACATGGAAAGCTCGACGTTTAACTTCTTGTTGTGCCGAACTACAGAAGCGCGACATCAAGATAGACGTCGTGCTTTTCATGTGCCCACCCTAATGCATAATTAATTTTCAATAATTTTGAAAGTTAAAACGAGGCTAGGCAAGCGTGGATGACATAAGGAAAAGGGCGCCAACGTTAACTTTCCCAAACCAATGCCTTTTAGAATGAATGTATGAAAGTTTAGCAGCTTCATTTGCAATCATGGCGTCAAATTCACGACCTATAGACGATTGCGAATCTTGTATGAAGCAGACTACCCTGGGTACCAGACTCACTATGTACAAAATAATATATCTGCATAATTTGCGGGGTCCCAAATTGTACAGTATACTGTCTGGAGGAATTAGATGAAGAAACTCAAGGCTGGATTCCATGCAGGAGTGTAGGCTTCTGCTCTGTTTGCAAGGTGCAGCAGTATAAATAATCAAAAGTTGAATCCACATCACCATCAAGGTATGCATTTCATATTCAAGCCTTTTTTATAAATATTTCTCTAATAGGCACCTGTTGTCCTACTTTCAAAAAGAATAAAATTACGACACTTTGAAATCATATTTTTCAAAAGCAATATTCTCTTCTCTGCGAGTTAAGCCATCTTGAAAAATTATTTTGATCGACGTCACGATTAGGCGGAAGGCTCGGCGAACTCGTCCGTGCTCGGAAAATGTTCGGTGGCTAACTTTGACGCTCAATAACCCTAAAACTGTGTTGAATATTTAAAAAATTATAATCTATCAGGTATTTATGCTCGATATGCTTTCATTTGAGGTCAAGTTAATTTTGCGTGTCAGTTCAGCTTTAAAGGGCCTCTCCAGCCAAATTTTGCACTTGCATTTTATTGGCTAATCTAAAGGAGTTGAGCCTGCTGATCACGAATTCGTTATTTGTTTTTCGATATTTTTTACAGTTTGTGAGATATAGGCTCTTGCATTTCGATAATTGATTTGAATTAACCGACAAAAATTTTTCGGTTTTGTGACATTGTGACGCAATTTTGACGTCACTGTGCATTTCGGAATTCATGGCGAACGAGAGCCGCACATTGTGACGTCAGAATGTCACCAAACTGATTCGGCTTTTGTCGTTTTTTTCTCGGAAAGGTGCACCTTTGAAGCCCATATAACTTTTAAACAAATTGAAATTTTGCAAAAACAACGACTTTGCCATAATACATGCACCAGATGGTAACTTCTTAGTTAATAAAAACAAATTTTTTCTTGGCTGGAGAGGCCCTTGAAATAATACAGATGTATGCAATTATGCCGACGATAGAACTTTATTTGCTTGTGATATTGATACTGATAATGCTGTTGCTAGATTAGGACTAGATTCCGCCCATGCAATCAAATGGTTCTCTAATAATTATTATGAAGGTCAATAAAAAAAAATATCATCTATTAACATTTGGAAATGTGAGTGATGACTCTGTTTCGGTCAAAATTGGCTGTTGTTCTATTACTAATAGTATTAAAGAAAAATTGTTAGGAGTTACCTTAGACAGCAAAATTTCATTTGAGCAACATATAAGTTATCTATGTCAAAAGGTCAGCAACAAGCTATCTGCTCTGTCACGTATTGCACACTATATGGACCAAAATGAATTAAGGATACTGATGACATCATTCATCAATAGCCAGTTTTAATATGCCCTTTGGCATGGATGTTCCATAGTAGGAAACTAAATTCTAAAATCAACAAACTGCACGACACGAGCGAGCCCTTGGATAACGTATACACCACGAGGTCCTAAGGAATTTTATCACCCTTGCCCCCTCCCTTTTTGTCTCTGGGTATGTTTTGGCTATCAAAGCCACTCAGCCCCTCTGACACACTTTTTGCAAAAAAGCCAAATATAAAGCAATAAACTACCATTAAAGCCTCTTTTTATGCGATTTTAGTCCCTCCCACTTTGTTGGCCCCCCACTTTCAGCGCTTCGCGGTTCCTGATATAGCAGCTCTGTATATGCACATCTTATAAATTGAGTTTCCAATTTCAAATTTAATTTCATTAAATTCAAATTTCATTTCTTTAAGCAAGAATCTTACAGCGTGTATATCATAAATCTATTACTTATTGTCACAAACATAGAGAAGAATAAATGGATTATAAAGTGAATGTCCATAAATGTTGCCTAGGACACTGAGATGAACCTAAAAGGCTATCGAGCCCAGTGCCTTATTACATACGCTTGTGATTTATTTATTAAAATTAAACCATTTGAATTCCAAAAAATTATAAGCAACAGCTGTTTATAAAAAGAGGCCCTGCATTCAAGGACTTTGAAGGAGTTTTTCCATAAATCTGTTTCAAAGTAAGATAAAATATGAAATGTGTTGAAAGTACATGATTTGTTACGCTGAAAAAGATAGGATGCAGATTCTAACTGGCAAATGCCCCCTCGAGCTATATTTAGCCTGGGGTACTTTATATTGAGGACTTTGAAGAGGCTTTTCAATGAATCAGCCACAAAACATGCTAAAAGTATGAAACCTGGGAAAACAACATAGTTTGATAGGCTGAAAATTATAAGATGTAGTCCCAAACTCACAAATTACCCCTTTAGTCATTTTTAGACAGGGGTAATCGATTCAAGGATTTTGTAGAGATTTTTTCATATATCAGTTGCAAAACACATTTACAGCATGGAACTTAGTACAAGAACATTATTTGATACCTTGAAAAATATAGGTTACTGCCTCCAACTGGCAAGTACCTCTTTAGCTATGATAAGACGGGGGTACTTGATCCCAGG